GCCCCTCCCCGCTGTACCCTGCCTGCCCCTAGCCCCTGCCCCGACTCCACCGTCACCGCTCCCGTCGGCCCCGTCCCCGCCGCGTTCCCGCTCCCGATCTCCGACGCCCCTCCCCTGTCGTACGTCCCGGCCTCCGACCTCGTCCCGACTTGCTCCGACACCGTCACCGCTGCCCTCAAGCTCCCCCCGGCCCCGGCCCCTACCTTGCACGCTACCGACGTCTCCGACTCCCACCGGCTCCCCTCGCACCCGGTCTCTCCTACCCGCCCCTCCCCGCTGTACTCCGCTGCCCCTAGCCCTGCCCCGATCACCGTCACGCTCCTCGCCCCCGTCCCCGCCGCGTTCCCGCTCCCGATCTCCGACGCCCCTCCCCTGTCGTACGTCCCGGCCTCCGACCTCGTCCCGACTTGCTCCGACACCGTCACCGCTGCCCTCAAGCTCCCCCCGGCCCCGGCCCCTACCTTGCACGCTACCGACGTCTCCGACTCCCACCGGCTCCCCTCGCACCCGGTCTCTCCTACCCGCCCCTCCCCGCTGTACCCCGTTGTTTGTGTCATTTGACCAATTAGTGTTATCAAGGTGTTCATTTTGTATGGGGTGTTTTTGTATGACATTGATGATGTTTCAGGGGCATCATAGGATGCAATGCCTGTCACGGTTCCCTTATGGGTCAGGATTGTCACCAGTGTTGTTAATCCGCTCTCTGTTCCCTCCGCAATTCTGCACAATACCGACGTCTCCGACGCCCACCGGCTCCCTTCGCATGCCGTGTCCCCTATCCTTGCCTGCCCACTGTATTCTGTGCTTCCAAGGGCAGACCCTATTATGGTCACAATAGTTGAGCCCGTCCCTGGATGGTTTCCTTCTAACAAGGAAGCAGGAAAGGGATAACATTCGGTAGGGTCGTTCACGCCACCGGTACATTTGTTGCATGTTGCATCGTTGGTATTACTGCATACGGTCAGGTACTCACTTGCTCCACATGACAGCGTTGAACAATTAGTACAGTAATTCATGTCTGCAGTCCGATAAGTTCCTGACGGACAGGTTACACAGGACCCTGAATCAAGTTCGAAGCCAGCCGGACAGGGGCTCGAACAATTATCAATCGATGTAGAACCTGTGCTCTTGGTGGTATTCAGCTTGGTCGGACAACTAGTACAACCGTCTATCGCAATTTCAGCCCAGTTCAGACTATCAATGCTGGCATCTTTATACGTCCAAAGATATCGCCCTTTCAAGGTACACGAAATGTTGTGCACGTCATCTATGCTAGTGAACACACCCGTTGTTCCACATAGAGAATTGTTTAGGGCATCATAACTGTCGTCTCCTATATAGATCGAGACATTGTCATCTCGATATGTCAGCGCCGCATCCCTATTCGGCCAGATAGCCACTGCCTGTATATCTTTCGATTCGCCCAGATCAATTCTCCACCATCGAATCTGTTCTGAGCCTGTTAAAATGAAATCGTATATATTGTTGTCGTATCCGTTCGTGCAAGGATACAGAGTAGAATTGTAGTAGCTAGATTGAGTGCACGAGCACAAACTTGTTCCATCAGTTGAACCACAATCTTCGAGTGAGATCATGTATCCAGTACTACTGTAGAAACCAATCGGACAATCAGCCAGAGAATGGCCAGGTTGGGATTGTGACAAGGAAGTCAAGGCAGCAAACACCAGGATGAACAAGCAAGACGAAATTTTGGATCGCATGGCCAGGAATGCTTGCATATCAACAGTTATCGACTCTAGCTTGTTTGATGTGATATTACGCTCACAATAGCGAATACTCGGATCGCCAAATCAGTCCGAGCATTCTTCTATCTCTCCTAGACGGATCTTTTCACTTGTGGGAATCGAGATTTGCTGTTCCCTCCCGGAATAACCCCGCGGTCCACCGATCCCCTGCCATCATGCTCTGAGAGCGCTTCGCTCGCACAAGCTCTCCTGCCCCACCCCCTCATTCAACCCCCATCCCTCACATGTCTACAGGGGTACATAAATGACTATCCCAGTCAATCTCGGATCCTGACTGGCTGTAACGCACGGACGAATTCTTGTAACGGTTGCCATGATCATCGTATTTGACTGCTGGCTGTGCGACAGTGTCACAACATTGTCCTCTTTCTGATTTTTTTAACCTACTTGTTGAAACATGAGTAAATTCAATGCTGGTCTCCCGGGCCCGGCCGTGCCGCTGAGTCGGACTCTAAGCTCAGGCCCGCTGCAGCCAGAGCCCGCGTGCCACTATGACACTGGCTGTCACTGTGTGACCGGACTGGGACAGGCCGGGCTGAGCGGTGCCGAGTCCCCCCCGCCCCGGATACTCGGGAGGGGATAACTCGATCAGACCACGGCGCCCGGTCCTGTCCGTAACCGGCGTCACGTAGTACAGGCCGGGCCCGGCCGCCGCCGGGGGCCGGCCCCCGGGAGTGGCGGCTGTAAGAACTTGGGTTCTGACAAACCTCTCAGAAGTTCTTTCAGACGCGATAAGTTCAAGGCGTGCGTCTAATCAGGTTGTGAACCAAGTGAAGCCTGCAGGTCCAAGCTAGTGGGGGCGGCGCCGGAGGAATCAAGAGGCGCCGGCGGTCGAAGAGGCATCTACTCGTACAGTGGTGGAAGTAAGGCGGGGGTGAGCGAAGGGAAGCTGTTTGGTTGGTCTTGCTGCTACGAGTGTTGGGAATAAAGTGCTGGAGATTGTTGGGAAGTTGATCTGAGTTATCTGAGGTGTTTGGTTGGCTTGGTGTCTTCGTGCGCACATCATCTGTGAGTCTTGGTCTTTGGCTTATCAGTCAGCTGTTGAGCTGTTCTACTAGTCATTTATCTGTGCACAGACTCTAGAGGAGTCTCGAATTGATTCCAATAGCGGCCTCAACTCAGTCACTGAGTGTTGATGGCCCCCCGGCCGGGCGGACTCGGGACCGGGACGCCGGCCCCCCGGGCCCGGAAGTTTCAGCCACTTCGAGAAGGTCCTAAGACCACCCCAGTACCCTATCCAACCACCCCTACCACCCCTCTCTCGTGATCCCACGGGGTTCTCCCTCTTCACGTACAACATCGCACCGACCCCTTCGCTACTACCCCTGGTTTCTCCATATTACTGACCCTCGGCAAAGCACCTCATGGCCCCATACAGTTTCTGGGGGATGACCCCTACAACAAAATTTTACCGTCATGCACATACCCCTAGTTTCCTCGTTGTTGAACCTACCCTCTTTACAAAAAGTACCCACCCCTTTTTAATATTTTGATGACCCACCCTACCTGTCTCGCTATTCTTCGCTGTGCAATGCACATAGCGCCATGACGACATCAAGGAAGAGGATGAGAGGAGAAGGGCCTTGTGGGGCTCTCATGCAGTTAGCATCCATGAGCATGGCCGATCATCAGCTTACTGATCAGCATGTTGAAGATGTTGCGCTCGCCATCATCCTTCAGGCGGCATCCAATCGGTTGGATTCTTCTGGTGAACTCTTCCTCAAGATGTGTGCCACCTTCAACCTTGAGAGTCCGACCATTCTAGCGGCACAGGAGCATTACGCTTCCGTCATGCAGGCTCTTAGTGATTACACACCTGCGCCTGAACAAATTGAGAATGGTATCAATGGTTCAGAAAAGGAAGTTAATGGCGCGACCCAAGGTGGTTGTTGTTGTGAGGAAATTGTTCAACCTGCTGGAAAGAGTGCGTGTAGCGATGGCCCGTCTACATATCGGACTATGTCAACATGCTGTCAAGAAGTCGTAAAGCTTCGGTCGAAAAAGAGAGATTCGGCTTTCATAGAGGTCGGAGAACTTGTACAGAGGCTGAGTAAGGTTTGTATGTCCCAGTTTATGGCCAACATTCGAAAGAGAGTGCGCGAAACAGTGCCCAATCTTGTCGGTGTGCAGCAACCAGCCCCACAAAAGTGGAAGCTAGGTCGAATTCTCGGTTCTGGGGCATTTGGAGAGTGTAGATTGGCTATTTGTCAAGACACAGGAATGTTGTTTGCTGTGAAATCTGTAGCGCTCAAAGGTTCACACAAAGAGATCTCGAGTACATTGACGTCCCTTCAAAGAGAGGTAAATCAAATATGTGCTGCTTACAGCCCAATACCCTATTTCCTCTTAATTCCATTTATAAGAGCACTCCTGTAAACATTTTCCTAACCCTTGCTTTTTAATAGATTGGGGTTTTGCGTGGAATGGCTCATCCTCATGTGGTGGAAGTTTATGGAGTCTCGTTGGACCTTGGTTCAGGAAATATTGATGCCACAGAGTTACAGGATCTGAAAGACAACTGCAATCCTTGTCACGCGAGGATAAATATTTCTATGGAATTCATGGAAGGTGGATCGCTGGCCAAGTTGGTGGAAGAGTTTGGACCCCTCTCAGAAGGCTTGGCTGCATTCTATGCTAAGCAAATTGTTAGTTTATTGTTTTCTTGCCGTTCTGTCGTTGACTTCTTCTTACACGTGGTTGTTTACAGATTATTGGCCTTGAATACTTGCACGTTCATGGCATCATCCATGGCGACATAAAGCCAGCAAACTGCCTCTTAGACAAGAACGGGGTCTTGAAATTGTCCGACTTCGGATGTGCGCAGATTGTGGGATGTGACAGGGTTGGAGGACGTTTCCTCGAGGCTCAAAGTGGAACTTCCGATGTCCTGGAACTAATCCGCAACAGCAGCTATGGACAGCAATTCTGTTCGAACCTGGAGAGTGCAGAGTCTCATTCCAATGATCATGGCAGAGTGAAGAATCTAGAGGGCACACCCAGTTACATGGCACCTGAAGTCATTCGGAAGAAGGCATACAGTCCGAAGGCAGATATTTGGGCCCTGGGGTTGACGGTGTTGGAAATCATGACGGGGGTTGCGAGTTATGACGCATCCAACCCATTCACCGTCATGTTCCTCGTCGGTCGTGGCGTTGAGCCGAAGGTTCCTGATACGCTTGGTAAGGAGGCCCAAAATTTTGTTTCGGATTGCTGCCGTGCTTCAGCTATACTTCGACCAACAGCATCGCAACTCTTGTCAAACCCATTCATTCTGCATGCAAACCAGGATGCCGCTGAGAAGTATCGCAATACGGAAAAAATCCTGAATGTTGCCATGCTTCGTCTCATGGCGTCGATCTGTGGAAGTGAACCTGCCAGTCATAACAGGGCAATTTTACCTCCTCCGCGAAATGTGGAACTGATAACTGCAGTCGAAGACGTTGAAATCGAAAACAGTGATCTTCCGATGAGTGTTACCACCAGAGTGGCATTGAGCTCTCTGCTTAACCAGGGTCAGGTTGTTCAGTTAGAATCAGACTCTCCGAAAGGTCAAGATCAAACAACATGATTGAGGCCACTTCCGAGTTGTTTATTTAGTAAAGTAGCACTTGTTCTCAGACTTTGGTCGCAGGGCTGTTGGATGTTCAGGCGGCCTCGGCCCGGACGGACTCATGGCTGATTCAATCCGATCGGATCATGTCACAACTCGTTTATTTTTCAGTTGACGCTGGTTGGCCGGGCAGAGTCCCGGCGGAGTTCCCGGTGACTGCCGCTGTGCCGCCTGAGTGCGGCGCGGCAGCCCGGGACTCCGGGACCACTCCGATCACCGAGCCGTTTCAGGATCCATTGCAGCCGTTAGTAAAAAACTCGTCAGTGCATGGCGTGATGGCAGCGGGGGGCCGAAGGAGCGTGGCTGCGGCGATGCTACTGGTAGGCCATGCGAAGGAGACAAAGAGCGGGGGATATGTATATCAATGTAGAACCAAGATGAAACTTGACCTTGCCAAGATCAAAGTTCGTCTTGATGTCAGAGCATGCGATGCTTGTTCTTGCGGGATCCATTGGTCCAATCAGATTTCTGTGTTTCCCTGCATGCATACCATTAATTACAATCATTCCATGGCTGAGAGAGGAGGGAAAATGTGCAATGCTTCGGTATGGATGCTGACGCTTGTTCTTTTAGGCAATGAGCGTGTCTCATGTAGCAGCTTTCTCGCACTCGTTTCTTCCCCTACGGAGCGGAATCTCGCACATGTCTAGCATCAAATCGAATGAGCACCAGATTATTCATCAAAGCAAGAACACGAGACAGTGCGTGACTACCAGTCACAGGGACTCTGTAAAACTTTACTCTAGCCATGGTGAATCTGAAGCCAAAGTGAGGATTGTTGGTGCTATCGTAGAAAGAAACGGCAAGTTTCTCATGGTGGAGAGATTGAGACGCTCAAGGGGCTATTTCGAGTTTCCAGGTATTAAGAGCATTCTTTCGGCCAACCCCTTGACTCACCTGATGTTCTCCAAGGTGGAAAAGTAGAGGAGGGCGAGTCGGACGAGCACGCGCTGGTGCGGGAGCTCAAGGAGGAATTGTCCGTCGAAGGAAAGGTAGGAGGGAATAAGGAGTAGGTGTCAGAGGTGCTGAATTGAGTTGCAAGCTTATCAACGCCGATCCGTTCGCTAGAGGAGAAGATGGTCCTGTACAGGTAGCTATGGTGACGAGAGCCTATGGTGATGTGACGCTGAACCTACAGCTCACTTGCTATCGAGTTGAGATCTTCGGGGAGCCAAAACCAGATTCCGACACGCTTAACCTCAAGTGCGTTCTAATTTCGCCTGACCTGGTAGCGATCGACAATTGATCGTGTCTTCCGCAGGTGGTTCAGTGCTGACGAGCTCAATTCTATCGCCATTCCTCCTGCAGACAGGCAAGTCGTGAGCAGTTGATGGGATCTTTGGGACTCAACTTCTGACAGGGCCGTGGTCAGTGGACTACTGAAACAGTCACAATCTAATGCCTCAAAGAATCAACAGTCGGGATAAGAAAACATTTCAGACTTCGCCTCAAATTTATTTCAATACACAATCTTGTACTTGTAACGAATGTGCACCAGGATGGATCAGTCGAGGCAGTATGCTAAACTTCCATCGTCGCCCTTCCTAATCAGCATAACTCTCCCTTCTCCAAGTACTCGGGTGTGCAGAAGATGTTCAAACTCTTCCATTACGTCTTGTGGCAATTCCCTACTGTGATAGCGAGTAGTTTTGACGATGGAGGCATCCTCCAATTTCAGTCTTAGTGTTTCCATTTCCTTGTCTTTGCTCGCGACAATTTGTTGGTGCAAGGCTCTCTCAGATTCTAGAAGCTTGTTCAGTCTGTCAATCTCAGACCGCAAAGATTGATCCGACTGAAAGATCCTCATGGGCGATGTTGGTTGTTCATCAGCGTTGAACAAGACTCTCCGGATTGGAAATCTTTCCCTCAAATCTGGCGACGAGTCATCTGTGCATGACGACAGAGGAGACGAAAGATCCTCTTTGTCTGCATGGTTTGAGAGTGAACACAACAAGAGAAAAATCCTAACCCTGCATGCTATTCGTGAAACTGTTCACGAAGATCATCGCTCGCTGCTCCTCTAGCATTCGACGATAGTTGAGCACGCTTTCAACATCCTCAAGCTCTACAGTGCGCAAGCAGACCAATTCGACTATCACCTGTCATCCAGGTTCACGTGCCCGCATGTCCTCTGCACTGACTTGACCTCTCTCTCCAATCCGTTCCTCAACCTCATCAGCCTGAGGACAACCCTTTCACCCTCGTCTCGCGTCAAATGATCCTCACGGCTGACGTCCCTGACCGTGCTGTGTCAAACCGCAAGAAGGCCAGGAGCAAGCAAGAGAACACGTTGAGAGATAAAGCACGCTCTGATCGTCTATCGAGATGATTCGGTCGCCTTTGAAGATCTGCATCAAGGTCATCACACGTTGACCTCAGACTCCTGACACCTTCTGGCTGAAGTATGCCGACGATCCTGGAAGAATTCGATCTACCGTCCATGAAACATCTTTCAACTCATCGCATCCCTCCAGAACGATGCCTGTCGACACCCTCAATCCTTGTTCTTCAACCCTTTGACTAGAGGGGAAGATCTCTTCCGCAACATGAAGCAACGTCGTGTTCCTTCTGGTCCTGTCGAAGGCTTCAAAGGTGATTTCAAACGCTTTTCCTGGAGTCCCACTCAGCAATCTCTGCGTCTGCAAGGAGTCAGGTGATCCCATCGTGACAACAAGGAGGGAGAGCTCACTGTTTCTTGAATGATTCCTTCCTTGCCTGCTGAGATAAGCTCTCCATTGATCGCTACAATCGAATCGCCCAGTGCTATGCTGCCACTACAGAAGGCAGGCAGTCTACCAAATCTTTCACGTCGAGCGATCAAAGCTCGATATTTTCTCACCCCACCCTCATGCTTTTCACCATGGCCTGCAGAATGCACACGGTCAGTGGGACGAAGTGAAGGAGCGAAGACACTGAGATGAAGTGAAGGAGCGAAGACACTGAGATGAACAGCTCTCCAGCTGATCTTCAGCAACAAGACTCACTCGGCCTCTAGATTCCACGAGCGAAATGCCGAAACCGACGATGCTTCTTGACATCTTCGGACACGAAATGAGTCAGTGCCGCCCCTGACATAGTGGGATCTTTCCTGCTCTTGATCCTCCGAACCATCCTCCTTGTCAACCTCCTCCTCCAATCCTACATGCTGACCCTCCTAGTCCTCCTCACTCTGACCTGCATCTTCTGCGATTCGCTTTCAAAACCCCATAATCTCGAAAAAGTCTACACTCCCAACCCCCTACCCCCCATCCCAGCCCACCCTACCCCCCCTTCTACACACTCTTCCCTTGTCAAATCTTGTCACAGTCAGTTATCTCATGGCCCAGCGCGACCAGCCAAGGTGATGCGAAGCGATGGTGGTGGTGATGATGATGATGGTGATGATGATGATGGTGATGATGATGATGATGATGATGGTGATGGTGATGATGGAGATGGAGATGGTGATGGTGATGGTGATGGTGATGGTGATGGTGATGGTGATGGTGATGGTGATGGTGATGGTGATGGTGATGGTGATGGTGATGGTGATGATATGGAGGAGAAGGAGCAGCAGCAGCAGCAGCAGCAGCAGCAGGGAGTAGGAAGAGGAGAAGGAGGGAGCAGGAGCAGGAGCAGGAGCAGGAACAGTACGAGGAAAGGGAAGCCCATGAACAGGTGGAGATGAAATTGACGATGAGTATCTGCAGGAGCTTGCTGGAGAAGATCAAGAGGAGAAACAGTGATGTCACAAGCTTCAGAAAAGATATAGAGCGGAGCAAGACGCTCCTACATATCAGGAGTGCGTTGAGAGATCTGCCAGCAGAGGTTGAGGAGCAAAGAGACCAACTGCGATGGAGAAGAATACAGGTCAGATCTTGGTTCCTGCCTTCTTGAAACTAATGAATGAACTCCGCAGATGCACTCAAGGGAGGAGGAAGCAAAAGATGAGACGAATGCAAACTTGCAGGAGATTGAGAACCAAGCCAAGTACATTCATCGAAAGAATACATATCATTATCGAACTGTGGAAACTTTGAAGGAGATTGAATCGAAGCTAGAGGTCGAATTGCAGCGAGTTCAAGCTGAAAACCTCGGGCGACATGGCGTATTGCGAGCGACAAGGAGCGTGCAAAATAGCCTTCTTGTCCGGCAGACACCCGTGAGCTGCCTTGAAGGTGGCGAATTGAAGAAGGGCAATGGACAAAACCTGTTGGAATCGAAACTTCGTGTCCCTTTGGACCAAGTTCAAGCTTTTTATTCGGGAGAGGTTTTGAAAATGTCGAAATCTAAGTTGTACAACCACGTTGTAGCAAACAAGAAGATCTGGGCCAGCGTAGAAGTGGGAGAGACTTCAAATGTAAGCTCCTTTGCAGTCTCATTACAATTTCATGAACCTGACAAGATGCAGATGGAGGGAGATGAAATTTTTCTGCCTCACGGGAGCGGGTTGCTGGAGTTTGACATCAAGCATGCCGAGTCGAAATCTTTCTTCTCTGGAAGGTTTTGGAAAGGAGCACGTATCGCACTGATTTGTTCCTCCTGCCGCTCTTGAGTTTTTGTCCTCAGGCCGCGGGCTCGGGGTGCAGCTCTGTGCAGATGGTGTTGAGCTTGCTGGGAGTTGGAAAGACGAAACGCTGGAAGGAGGATGCGTGATCTCGTATCAAAAGAGTACATTTGCTGGGCAGCTAAGGAGCAACGTGTGTCATGGGATCCTTTCACTGGACGGGGGTCAAGACTTCGAGGACTTCTGCAGGTTTGAGATGCACTGTTGGTATTGAGACATGGTGACTTGTCGTGCCAACAGATGTACAAAGTTGGAAGAAAATTTTGAGACGGCTACAATCATCCATGGTAACTTCCAGATGGTCTGGGAGAGTGGGAGAGGGCTGTCTTTCAAGGAGGATGAGACGGCTGAGGATGGGCGATCAGAGTTGTCTGCGGGCAGTCAGCCGTTAGAGCTACCGTTTCAGCATGAGGAGGAAGCAGAAGAGACTGTCTCTGGTCATCACTTTGGGAGCGGAGAGATGAAATCAGACGAGGCGACTCCTGGCAATGAGGAAGGCAGGGAACTGGAAGCGAGTCAGGACGCTAGACCACCAGGGGAAGATGTCGGTGAAGGCGAAGGAAGCACTTCATCTTCAACATGCACTGACGACATCGAGACGATTCTTGAGGTGTCAACAATCACCAGCCCCATCATGTCATCTCCTGTCGTCGAGCGCCGAGACGTCATGTCGGAATCCTATGCAGCCTCCTTCATTCGACAAGTGCGCAATCTCGGAGAACAAGTCTGCGACGAATGTATGGTGGACGCTAGCGGGACAGTCCAGTCGATTCTCCACCTGCTGAGAAGCGAAGAGGACTTGAACTTTGACAACTTACTTCTTTTTCTTTCGGACAAGATTGACAGGAGTGAGATCTCCCTTGTTGAGCTCAGCGACGAGGTGCATGAAGCCTTTGAGCAGCTCAAGACGATCCTGACGGCTCCTCATCATCGAGACCTGTGGGAGGAATTTGCGGGTGGAGGAGAAGGAACGATAGAAAGCGAACAGGTTGCGCATAGATCCTCCAGTTTTGATGAGCTCGACGAGCTTCCTTCGGGTAGACCAGCCAGTGAGGCAGGAGAGACTAGAGGAACTTCAGCATCGTCCTATGCTGCTTTCTCGGATGTGAACTACAAGCAGGATGTAGGGAAGGCGCTGCTGTTCACTTTGAGAGATGGGAGGAGACACAACAGGAAGTTTGAGAGCTCCGACCAGACGGTTGTCAAATGGCAGAGGTACAAAGAGATTGCGAGGAAAGCTTTCGATGTTGCAAGCGACGCCAACTTTGAAAGCGAGAGAGGGAGGGTCAGGGCAAGGGCAAGCTTCAAACTGGTATGCGGCTGTTCTCCTCTCCTTGCCTCATCTGATTGTTGTTGTCAATTAGAATGAAGCTCTCAAGAAGAAGACATTGTTCGTCCACGATGCTTGCAGAGAGAGGTTGAATGCTTTCACAATCTGCGTTGAGACTATCAAAGGTCTGCCCTTCTTGAAGAACTTTGGAACAGTTTTCTGGTTGCGAGTGGATGTCTACTTTGAAGAGGAGAACAGGAGGAGGCTGGTGCATCAATGCGACGAGATACTTGTCAAATCTTCGAGTGAGATCTTACTCAACTCCAGCTTCTCACTGCCCTCGTCATGTTTCGGCGACAGTGACCTTCTCGCGGTGCTGCTCGTGCGGACTTCGGAACCTTCGGGATGGAAAGTCGTTGGAGAGAGCAGGCTGAGTATTCCCGCAGACAACTGCATGCAGGAAGAAGTCGTCAGCAGGATTATGTTGAGCTACGAGGAGTTACAAGACAACAACAGAACGACAGGGAGTGAAAGGGAAAGTTTACCATCGACACCAAGTGCGATGTCGCAGATGCTGACTTCCTCTCTTGAGAAATGGCTCAAATTAGTCTATCTGTCGATCGAAGACTACATGGTTGAGATCGGAACCGTTGCCGTGGTGTTCCTGTTGTGGAGGAGTCAGGTGAAACAGGCCCGAGACGCGTTCTTGGCCTCCCAAGGAATCTTCTGTGGGGTCAAGCGCGAGGAGAGCGTCAGAGACAAGACTCGATTCATGGGTAGTTACTTGACCTGTAGCCTGCGAAGAGGGAGACGAGAGGCGACGGGGTTGTCAAAGTCACGGCAAGTTCAGTTTGCAAAGGAGGGAGCTCAGCTGGAGTCGTACGTTGAGAGCTCCTTCACAGTGATGTTCGATGTGTTGGAGATGTTGAAGCATCTGCAGACGTTTTTCCTCCGCCTATCCTCTCGCGCCGACAAGAACTCATCCATCCCGCTGCGCACGGAGGAGAAGCACGTCAAACACGCCATGATGTTCAGTTACAAACTCTGCATTGACAACCTCGAGGTCATCGGATCGAACCCACTCTATGAGCGAACTCTGCTGTGTGCGTGTCTGGCCAATAGGAAGATTGTCGAACAAGTCACACTGACAAGTGTTCCTGGCCATTCGAGAAACTTTTCTGTGAAGATCGAGATTTTCTCCTTGTTCGAAGGAATACATATCAGACGTCAGTTGTCGTCACCAGAAATCCGATTGCAAGCTGTGCAGGGCAAAGAGAAAGAGAGAATTTATCTTCCCGTGTTCGACGATGATAGTCTGATTGACGTCACAATCATCATCGAGGGAATTTCCTTCCCTTCTTTTGCTGTCCCCTCAAACATGTCGAAAGTTGTCTCATGCAAACTCTCACGGTCGGACAACCTTTTGTTTTCTGCAAGGGAATTTTCTGCATGCTCAGACGAACTCTGGAATGAGACATTTACAGAGACAGTGAGCTGGAAGACGTGCAGAGAAAAGCTCGATCTTTCTTTGTCGATGAAAGATGAGAAGTCAGGCGAGGACTCATCACCACAAGTGATTGGAGGGGCTTCTTTCACCCTGCATGATATTCCCATCGGAGAACATTTCAGCCGAATGTTGAAGGTGCAGGCGACGACAGGGGAGAATCTTTCTCAGATCTCCACTTGCCTCCTCCACCTCTCCATCTTGCTCTCTCCGAAGCCTCTGGACTGCATGGGATTCCTTGAGATTTCGCCTCACCATATCAGCCCCAAGGCGCCCTCGAGAAGCAAGAAGGCTGGTGGGTTTGGAGACACTCGACATTCTCGCCAACAGACGCCGACGGCTCGAAATTTCTCTGTGATGGTACACGAGGTTGTGAAGGCAAACCAGCAGGTGCTTACAGACAGACAACCTTGCGCCGTCAGTGTCATCGACCTTGCAGGGAGATTGCTATCTCAAACGAGAATGTCAGAAGATAAGTGGGATGAAAATCTCTCTCTGCCGCATCAACTTCCGTCGACTCTGTTTCTTGTCCTTCATCATTCCACTCAGGTTGGTGAAGATGCTAGTTTGCTGCTCACAATCTACATCAACCAGCTTTCATTGCCTGCATCTATTTCCCAGAAACAAACATTCTTCTTCCTGACCGCAGAGCTCGACGGAGCTGAGTTGGGAAGGAGCAGAAGTCGACTGATGACTTCACAAATGATCGATGAAACTTTCAAGGTGATGATTCAAAGAAAGGATCTTGACTTGAACAAACTCACTGTCTCCGCCACTCTGGTCGTCGAGGGGCTGAAGTTCTCTGGTTCGTCAGACCTGCCGGTGTCAATCGGGATGTTTGCCGACCAACAAATCCGTTTCACTTGTCAAAGTCAGCCGCACGATGGAGAAGCTCCAACGGACGTCATGGGCGTGTCAACCGTCGAGACCATCTTGCAAGTGAGCGTCTCTCTCTTCAAGGACGTGAAGACTTCGAAAGATTTCTGGAGGACTGCCGTCGGAACTTCGTCGTTACATCTCGGCCGCTACCAGCAGATCGTCCAGTCCCCACAGAAAGACAACACTGAAATAGCTACCCTCCTCCTCCCCCTCTCAACTCATCACCTCCCTCCTCGCTCCCCCCTCGTCCTCTCAATATTCCTTCACAGGGCGATCGGGCTGCGGGCAGCCGATCGCAACGGGCTGTCGGACCCCTACGTTACGATCTCCCTTGTCGACGCGCGAGACCCGAAGCTCGTTCTCGTCGGGCCGGAGAGAACGAGGACGGTGATGAAGAGTCTGTGCCCAATCTGGGAGCAGCTGATTGAGCTCCCTCTCAAATCCTTGGATGCCGACCTCGTCATAGAGGTCTACGACCATGACGTTGGCCCATTGAATGACGACTTGATCGGCAAGCTTGTCATTCCTGCGTTCGCACTCGACGACTTGGTTCATGACAGGTTCGGCGGAGCGATTGCTCGACATGGTGTGTTCACAACAAGACGAGTCCTCCAGCAGACAATTGACGTCCAACGAGATGTAACTGTTAAGAGCAAGAAAGTCTTCTCAGAGGCATACGATCCCAGGTGAGCAGCTAGAGTCTCTTGTCAAATTTTTTTCTCTTGTCAAATCTTTGCCTTCTGTCCAATCTTGTCCATTTTCCACTCCGTGTTGACTGGCGATTGCAGGATAAGGAGGTATAGGATCACTTCGTCAGAGGTGAAGACGGAAAGAAATTTGCAGTCACCATCGGTCAAAGTGGCGCCTCCAGATCAGCGACCGTCGAGCTCGGGCAAGTGTGTAACTGAGCGAGAGAGGATCTCGATCGACGACTTGACGTCCCTTGACCACGACGATCTCTGCTTCTATCCCATCGAGACGTTCCAGACTCGAGAGCCGCGAGAGGCGTTCATGACCTCCGGCAACTTCACCCTCCAGGTCTGCAAAGCAGAGCACCTGCCAAAGATGGACACGTTTGGGAGCTGCGATCCATACTGTGTCATTCAGTATGGAGGGCAAACCAAGAAAACAAGTGTCAAACACGGCCAGTACGACCCAGTGTGGATGGAGAACTTCAGGTTGTGGTATCAGGAGAAGGTGGAACTAGTTGTCAAGGTGTATGATCATGATCTCGTGGGCTCACATGACGAGATTGGAGAAGCTGTGATATCAGCGAGTCTGTTGTCTCAGATCCTGACCAAGACAGAAAGCAGACAGCTGGAGATGAAAGTGATGAAGAAGAAGAAGATTGTGGTGGGGCACGATTCTGATCACTCAATGATCACGCTCATGTTTGCAAACAAGCGCTTCCCAGCCTTGGACGAGATCTTCAGCAGCAGCAGAGACTTTGACCTCCACCATTTGCACAACGACACTCTAGTCCCTGCCGGAAGAATCCAGATGACCGTCAATATCAGAGCCGAAGATTCGGACCTGTCGTTCGATCGAACAACCTCTGCAATCCCATCGCTCCGGTTGAGTTTGCGCAACCTGAGCTCTGCTGACGTGGAGGAGCCTTTGGCGAGGACGGCGGTAGATGACAACTCGAGTGACAACTCGGGAGTCTACGAACTGCAACTTGTCCAGCTGAAGAGTCTTGTCAACTTTACTCACAATTATTCGCTTGTCAAACTTGTGCTGTCCACTGAGAGCGAAAGACCAGCAGGTTCCCAGCATCAGCTATCACAAACTTTCACTGTATCCGTGACGGGTCAAATTCTTGCCGACTCCCAGCCATTTGCTTTCATCGCTTCCGTCAGGACAGCGGAGGGTCAGAGCAGTCAAACTCTCAACACCCGCATGCTCGGAGATCGCTCCTTCGTCTCCACCGCATCGTTCGCCGCAGCTGCCGACGACTCTGCGATCACCCTGCACGTGTACGATCACAAGACACAAGTTCAAATCGCTGACTTCTCCCTCGACCTTGAGTCAGGAACGGCCCCTCAGATGCTGGACCGACTTGTCTCCTTTGACTCGTTCCCTCCCACCTCGGATCAGTCGAGACACACGCTAAGAGTGGAGGTGACGGCAGGGAGTGACTCTTCCTCTAAAGAGATCACGATCGCATCCGATCGCCTCGGGCTGATCCTTGAGGAGACGCAGAAGCTTCGAGCAGGCCTCTCCTCTAGGTTCCTTCATCTCAGGCTCATCGCAGTGCAACGGACGGAGAGGAGAAGCTTTCTCAACATGCTGCAGGAGAGCTCTCAAGAGATCACACTTGCAAGTGCGAGGTTGGACCTCAGCAGGGTCCCCCTGAGGCAGACAGTGCATGGATGGCTGCAGCTTCACAGGAACGGAGTCTTTCAAGAGTCGGACGTGTCGGTACGGCTGCTGTCCTGCCGGGGGCTGAAGCAGCAACGGTCGAGTCCCCCGCAGACCCGATGTATCGTCCGTCTTATCCTCTCCTCTCCCTCCCTCACCTCCTCCCAAGAGTTCCAGACGTGTGAAGTGAAGGGGAACAACCCTCAGTTCGATCAGAGCTTCGTCTTCCACAACGTCCGTCACGTCTCCAGACAAGAGCTGCTCGACGACACGGCTCACTGTCATGGTCTGGACGCCTTCTTGCACGTCATGGTGTTCCACTCGGGCAAGCGGAGGATGATCAGCACAGGAAGGAGGGGAGGAAGGTGAGGAAGAGGAGGAGGAGGAGGAGGAGGAGGAGGAGAAGGAGGAGGAGGAGAGACAAGGCCTAACAACAGCACTGCAGGTTCATGGGCCAGACTTTCATCCCGTTGGGGAAGATGGAGAGTTTCAGAGACGAGGAGTCGCAAGGAGGAGGGTCAAACGTCAAACAAGTCGTCGGGGTGCGAGAGCGATGGTACCCGCTCTTCGGAAGGGGCAAGACGTCTGATCGCATGGAGACGTCAACGAGCAAGAGGGTAGAGAGTGAGCCTCATGGAGCTGTTCGCCTTGTAAGCGCTCGGGTGAGAGGTGTGAAGTTCTCTCACCTCGTCTCTTGACAGGCTGTGAGTCTTCCCGAGCGATCATGGCTGGACCCTTCCCTCCTTGTCAACCTTGTTTGTCAATCGCGGTCTCTCGCTGAGCGACACGTGGCCAACTCTGCGCTGGTTGAGGAGTGCAGCATGCTCAATATGAGTCTGCTCAACCTCAACGTCGTTGCCTGCTCGGAGCTCAAGGTGGAGGCGAAGCAGGTTCAGACGAGCTTGTTGTGTGTGTGTCACGTGGGGATGAAGGAGATCGCAACAAAGAAGATCAAGACTGACAGGGATGTGATTTGGAACGACAAATTCTCTCTCCCCATCGAGAGAGGAGCAAGTCATGTGGTCAGGGTCGACCTGGTCCAAGAGACCAACAGAGGGCAGCAGGAGATCATCGGCTCGACCATTGTCAACCTGAGATCCTTCGATCCTTTCAAGTGGCATGACCAATGGTTCGCGCTGGAGGGAGAGCGAGAGTCTGTCTGCTCCGTCCTAAGGGTACAAGTCCGGCAGGCCTGCCACCTCCCTGCCATGGATCGCAACGGCAAGTCAGATCCCTACTGTATCCTTCAAGTGGTGGACGGGGACTCACCGCTGCAGAAGGGCTCAATGCTAGCGAGTCTTTTCAGCGACAGCGACAGTCAGAAGACCAAGATCGTCTCGAGTTGCCTTGATCCAGTATGGAACGAGTCCTTCCTGTTCAGAGTCTCGAGGTCTGTGGGCATCGCCCTGCTGACCTTCAGCTGACCCTCTCGCAGCCCGTCCGCGAAGTTGCAGCTATTGTGCTACGATCATGACACGGTCGGCAGACACGATCTGATCGGTGAGAGCGTAATCGACATTGCAAGCCTGCAGCCTTTCGAAGATGTGTCGAGATGGGTACAACTGTACACGCCTGATGGCGAGAAGCTTCACGGAGAGAGCGAGGAGGTGAGAGACAAGAAGGAGACCAGAAATTGATTTCCTCATCGTTGTCTTTAGGAGAGCAAGGTGTACCTGCAGTTCTATCTTTCCAAGGCAAACAAAGATTACTTCTCCATGGGCTATCTCAGACTTGCCTTTGAGGTTGTGTCATTCCGTCCTGTGTGGCTGACTCGACTTGACACTGTCCAGTTGACACCCGCGTCAAGCGCTGAGGACGTGGAGGACGAGGGGAAGGAGGAGCAGGTTCAGAGCTTGCATGCGATGGAAGAAAAGATCGAGACGAGAGTGAGTTGATATGATTTCCTTCATCGTTGTCATTCACATCCTTGGCAGCTGTCAGAGTTCGGTTCGGACGATCGACAAGTAAAGGAGAACCTTCACTCCTCTCAAGCGTATCTGTCCTGGGCGAGACGAGCTCTTAGCAACTACTTTTGATTTCAAACCCTGTACCCGAATGTATGCAAAGCGCTGCTCAGATTTTTAATTTCTTACAAGAGAGGGGATTCAGATTGTTCGAATAGTTCGTGAGCGCGAAAATATAACTTTCTTACAGCCGACTTCAATCTTGATAATACGAGCATTTATGAATGTTAACAATACAACAAAGACGAAAACCACGTTGTCTCAACGCGATCAAAGATCAAAGTTTACGACTTCTTGCAATGATTGCGTTCTCCGAGGTTCGTCGCCGTGAAGTATCGCAGACATGCGACGATCGCTGTAAAACATGTACAATCAAAATGACAAACTCGTCCATAAGATTCCAAGAGACCTGTCGATTGCGATCCAATCACAGGCAAATTCTTCATGACTCTCTGAAATGCTTCCTTCACAACTTGCTGTCTCAATAAAATCTGCTGCTGGGTTCGACGACTCTTGCATTTCTGCAGAGAGATCTGGTTGAAACTTTGTCAGAAATATCTCTCATCTTCATGTAGATCTACAAACCTGGTTGGTTTGTTGCAGCATTGTGTGCGCAACTTGGACTTCTAGAACAACATATTGTTGTCATTGCAATCCCGAGAAAACAAAAACAAAAACAAAAACAAAAACAACTCACTCCGCTGCTTCTGATGTGTGTACAGGATGCACAACCTTCACCTCAATCGAGAAATTTTCTGAGTTTTGCTGTCGACTGCTGACAAGTTGCTGAGGAAGACATGAGGGAGCTTAGTAATGGTTGCAGCTTATCTTACGTCACGGTTCTCGATGCTCTCAAGATGCCCAGGCTGGCGGAGTGGAGCAGAGGAGCTTCTCAAGATTGGAGCACACTGTCGTAGGTAGACCCGCTCTCTCAGAGAACAAGTTCCAAACCTGAATGAAAGCAGGAACCATCACAAACAGACGAGGACGAGACTTAGAATTGCCATTGGGCTTTAGTTCTATTCGTCTGCCTCCCCCCTATCGATCGTCCCTGTAGTGATCGTAAGTTACAACTTTCGCTTGCAGAGAGAGAACAGACCTCCCAGGCTTGAAAGTTTCCTGACGAGTCTTGTCTTCCGATGATCTTCTGCTCGAGCAATTGAATTGCGTTCACGTTGGAAACGATACTCACTCGGCTTGTTGAATGATTCTGTCGCGCGGAATTTTCTCGCAAGAGGATTTGGCTGTCGTGACTGACTTGTGGGAGAATGTTTTTCGATGACAGACGCTTTCAAGATGACAACATTCAGGGAATTCACTAGGATCATTCGAGCATGATCATACCTTCTCTTCCCCTCCGTCTGCTTGCTTGCTTTGTTGTTTCTTGAACTCTCGGATGTATCTGGTGAAAGTATCGACCATCTCAACACCTGACATAAACAAGCAAAGCAGGAAAGAACCTCTTCAGAGAGACATCTGTTCTTTCAATCTGCCTCTGACAAACAGCATCTCTCTCACGATGAGAAGAGCCGATAAGAATCTTGTCGATGCTGCCCTTGAACAGCTTGGCAAACCTCTCCGAATTCTTTTCTGCTGCTCTCATGGAGTCGTAGGTCTGCTTTCCTATCAGCTGATGGCCGCTGGATTGAGAGATTGCCACTGCATTCCCAAACGCTGTTGATAAGTTGAACTCCACATGCTTGTAAAACGTCAGACAAGGCAAACTGAACGACCGGCTACCTCCAGGCCGTAGAGTTGAGACCTTAGTCTGTCAAACTTGTCTTGGTGTTCGATGGGCTCTAGGCGTTTCATGGAGCTTCTTAGTATCATCTCGCTTGTTCTCTGCCTGAGTCCAATCGAAACCTTTCAAAGTAAAATATCAACAAAAATGGCTGGCATGAACCTTACACAAGTTATGAGCAATGGACAAGGATATTGCACAACCGCAGTGTTGCTCTTCAAACTTCTCTCTCTCCTCTGTGATGTCCTACTTCTCATCTTCTCTTCCAACATTCTCACGCTTCTGTTTCAACACCCTCTCTGAAATAACCTTTATTTGACTGAAAAAGAAGGACAAAATGAACAACTGCCTCAAAAAAACCAAACAACGGAAAAAAAAGGTCAAATTGCGGATGTGATGATGCTTTAGTTGTCTTTTTTATCTTTTACAGTGACTCAGTCTATCGGACTTGTACTAGGGTAACAGGAGACTCGTGCTCCTTGAATTCCTCGTACTTCTACTATGCGGTTGAGTAAAGCTTCTCCCTTTCTTGCCCAGCCGAAAGTCACTCTTCTTCTCTCAATGAGAATCAGCAAGACGGGTCCGGAATGATTTAAGTACGAGAGTATTAGTGTCGAGTAGTTGTTTACTCATTGGTGTCTCTGCAAAACAGTTGATAAACCCACTGCTTTGCCCTTATTCTCCGTTACAGGCTGCTTCGTTTGTGTTGACATCTTACGTCCAACCTGATCTGCTCTGATTATTTTTGGAAGTTCTACTCTGATTATTTTTGTAAGTTCGTGCGGCACAGCCAAGTCACACATTCGACTATCATGTTGATTTCCTGAGATTGCTTGAAGGTTTACTTTTTGTTCCTGCCTGTGCCATCCATTTTCTTCTTCTTTGTGACTTGCGTCTCTTTGTCCTAATGAAATACCATCACATCGCGTCAGTCATCGGACTTTCTAACCTCATCGTCTCCTCGCTTTCGACTTCTTGATGTTTGCTGCTGTGGCTGATGTTTTTCTTCCTTTGCTGCAGTGGCGTGAGATACAAGCGGACAATCATGTCAAGCAGAAAGTGTCTCTTACCTGACTTCACCAGCACGTCACAAGGCTTGGAAGCGATCGGAGGTCCTGCATACGAGGGTCTCGAGTCGACAAACTCAGCCGAGACCTGATGACTCCCGATCTCGCTGAGAGAGAAGGTGACGTGTACGCAGTTGCCGTCGAAGGTCTTGTACGACATGGGTATCCTCTGCTTTTCACAGTACAGCCTCACATCCGGCATGGTACTCGTAGACCAGTCGTCGAGCTTTCTTTGGTCTTCGGTGTGGAGTTGGATCAAAGCTTCGAAGTCTGCTGCTGCAAGAGCTGAGCCTTGTGCGTACTCAAGATGTTTCTGTCGGTCTTTCACCGTCATCGCGATCTGAATGACGGAGTTCCTAGCAGTGACGATGACATTGAAGGTGAACATCTGTACTCGTTTTGACAAGATTTTAGGGAAATACTCTCCAGCTGGAAGGGCTGGAATCGTGCTGAGCTTGAAAGCATCTCCCCTTGACTCATCTGATACTTTCTCAAGCTCCCTGCTCTGTTTGCCTACCTGCAGTATCAGCGGCTGATCCCATGCGGCTGACAAGTTGTTGTCCACACTGTCTGTAACGATGAACCTGATGTCACATTCGTACTCCGCCATGCTGGGGACCGAGAGGTTGACGAACGCTTGGCAGTCTGGCTGTACGCATATCTTGTACGGATCACCAGCTTTCAGGTCCAAGTCCAGCTCGATGGGCTTCAAGTTGTAACACTTTGTGCCACCTATACCTGTTTTCACGTTGAGCTTCAGCCCAAGCTTGAGCGTGCCCTTGGAGGGTTTACAGCGAATGAAAGCATTCCTTACAGTGATCTTAGAGCCTTTGATCGTGATGTTCCTAAGGGCATCTTTGCCTTCTACCACTTTGCGGAAGTCGTCAGATAAAGTGACCGGGACCTCAAACCCATCTTCGCACGTGAAAGTGAACGAAGATATTTCGTCAGGATGTTGGTTAGTTATCGGTTCGATGTCGTATCCATCTCGATCCACTATGACTCCTTCCAACGTGAACAAGTCTCCTGCTTTGATGCAAGAGGTGTTTCGTGGTAGAGAAATCTTCAGCTTCTCAGGCTCTCCGGGGGTTACCAGGACGTCAAGTTGGTACTGAAACAGTCGCGTCTCCTCTGTCTTCGTCTGCTTCGAGCCTGCACAGGAGAAGACCGAGATGGTCTGCTTGGAATTAGATCGTACGTGCAACGGAGGCAGTGCAAAGACTTGTTCCTGACCGGCTTCATAGACTGGCAGCTGTGCATTCATCCAGCTCATTTCTACTTTCAAGTTTGACCTGCCGTCCGCAAAGTGCTGGCAGGGCTGGTTTGTCTCGTCAGCAGCCACAAGGTACAAATCTGATATCTTGTCGTTGTGCCGTGCGTTGAACGACACTGCTGCATTGTTGAGAGCCAACTCGACTCCTGATCGGAAGAGCTTCATGCGCCTGGGAGTTCCGCTCGGCTTCAGGGGACGTGAGAACCTCTGATGCAAGATCGTCGTCTCGGTCTCGTGGATGACATCTAAAGTCGCTTGAAGGCTCCGGGGAAACTCGTCGGAGTTGCAGAAGAACACATTGTCTGCCATCACATCAAGATCCAAAGTGTGCCGGAGGGAATCGTGAAACACAAGGCAACGACCCGAGATGGCTTCTGGATTGAGCCTTTCAGCATCAGGTGCTTCGTTGTGTAAGAGTAAGCGAGGATGATCACTGCTCTCCGAGAAGTATTCAACATAGATTTCAGTCTCCGAAGATTGCTCGAAAATAGACTTGATCTGTCCAAACAACCGAACCTTAGGCCTTGTCTTACGACGTGCTCCAACGCCCAATTCTTGCTCCGCGATGAGCAATACACAATCCCCTGTTTGAAAGAAGCCATGCTCCCTGTGAAATACCCCGACCGGAGCGACTTGCTTGAGTATCATTTCTCTCCATCGACCCACGTCTGCCACGTCTGCTTCACTGACTACCGTCTGAGCTGTTGCCGTACCATTCGAGAACAAAGAGCTCGCACACGAGCAGGTCAGGCGACATCTCCCTTTCCTTATCTTGTTTTCATTCCGCTGGCTCTCGCCGTGAAGCAGGAGGTCCGGGCTCATCACCACGAGCTTGCCTTGGTTTCCGTCGCACATGTTCCCGCTCGCGTCTTGAATGCTGACGTCGACTGGCCCGAGCTGTTGGTAGTTGATATACTCCTCCCAGTCAGCGTCGCACTGTATGGACGATGGCTGCCCATGCTGGACTTTGATCGAGACATTGAGCTCAACGACCTTCTGCTGATGAATGTCTGTGATGACTATGCGAGCAGGATACGTCCCGACGCCCCCATGAAGCACGCAGAGGTCTTGGATCCTTATGCTCCCAGCGTACTCAGGCGTGAAGGATAGCGAGACATCTTGAGCCCGAGCCTTGTCTACCAGAATGTCAAGCGTGTGGACGCCGAGCTGGAGATCGATGCTATTGTTGTATTTGTCGTGCACCTGTACTTCTAAGGAGGTCGTTTGCCCGAGCTCACAATGGATGCTCGGAGTGTCTGGTCTGAGCGATACCTTGTGCATCTCTGCTGGGGTGATGTAGAACGTCTCGGGCTCGCACGTGAACGGCGTCTGACCTGCAGCTGGCTCGAGGGACATCGTATACTGGCCTGCGACAGTCGCGAGCTTCTTCACTATCTTGTCAGGAAAAGACAGATGCCCATTGGACACTTCGAAGCTTTCCGAGCAATCTTGTGACGCCACTGTGACCTTGATCGGGATGTTTGTTTGAATAACTTCGCTATTTGAGTTCTTGCAGATAAACCTTGTAGTCGGTAACAAGCCAGCCTTCATGATGTGGTTGCGGAACTCGATAGCGACTGATCTGACTATCTGCTTCTCGTTCTTTGCTCTGGTAGCCTCGAACTCTTTGTTGCTGAGAGGCCTCATGGAATAGTTTTGTATTCTGAAGCGATTTGTTTTCGTCATGCTGTTGTCTGAAGCCAATAGAAGAAGCTCGACCTCCCCTGTTGGCAAGTTCAAGTCAAAGTGCTTATCTTGCAAGAACCTCTCGATCCTTCCAACGTGACTTTGAATCCTTGCTTTCTCCTTTGATTCTTTGTACAGCTCGACAATATCTCCGACTTGATATACATCATTCAAGAATATAATTCTGTCGTGCTGAGACATTCCTTCAGCATCTATGTACCTTGGGTTTTCGTCTTCGAAGGAGACCTCTGCGTCAAACTTGAGGTGACATTGTTTGAGCCAGTAATCGTATGCTTTTGCGAGGTCCTTCGAGTCAAGTGCATCTTGTAATTTCCTCATTTTGGTTTTGCCCATGTTGAATGACCATTTGCTTGCCTCTGGCTCGATCCCTCGGTCTACAAAAAGAAGGCCGAAAGTCCTTGCATAGCATCGCTGCGGGGCAAGCGTCTTATCCCCCTCACGGTATCTCATGAAGCCAGGAACATAATGCTCCCCTGGAAGCCATCGTCCCATCCAGAACACCATGAAGCGGCGATCCAACGAGGTTGAGTGCCCATGCAGCTCGTCAACGTACGGGACTGTGTCCTTGTTGCCCTGGTTCGGAAAGTAGAATATCGCCCCCGTCGCGATCGAGCGCTTGGTGGGGTCAGAATCGTCGGGGATCTCGACGTAGATGGGGAAGCAGTCCTTGGCGTCGTCGCTCAGCACTCGGTCAAGGCAGCACGTCGAGTCTGCAAGTCGATGCGGAGGGGCCGAGCTAGCAGAGCCTTGATGGATCCACTCGAACTCCAGGTCAATCTGCTCCGACATAGAGCCAGACTGGTCTCTACATTGCTTCAGCATCGTCTTCAAGCGGCTCATATCTTCATGAAACCTGTGTTCCCTTTGTGGTTTACGACCCGTTCGCTTCCCATCTACACTCGGCTGGTCTATCAGCCTCAGCACCTGGTCCACAAACCTCTTCGCGCCTGCCTGCTCTCCTTCAAGGTACATGTAGTACATCGCTCGGATGTTGCTCAGGCAGAGCTTGAGAGCTGCCGCAGAGAAAGCTCCATCGCTGGTAAAGAAATCAACCTTGAAGCCTTCTATGTCGATCTTGCAGAAGCTCGACGCGACGTCTTCGCCTTCCTGGAGAGACCTGATGCATCTAATTGCTTTCCAAGCCGATAAGGTTGAGTCTTCCACTACTTGCACAGTTCTGCTGTCTCGCGTCTTACTGCTCACAACATGTCTTGTTCCAAGGGCATTGCAAGCATTTTTCGCCCCCACGCCATATCGAGAAAAGGTACCGCTCAAATATCTCCTGAACGATGTGCAACCCTCGTCGTACAGCTCCTGCGTAGATGCGCGCTTTGACCCACATTGAAGCATTTCCTTGGGGTCTGAGCAGCCTATTCCATTGTCCACAAGATGAAAAGTGCCCCTTTGGAAGTTGAGTGTAACTTTGATAGTTTTGTTCTTGTCATATTGGTTGCAGAGTACACGTTGTATCGAGTTATCAAAAAGCTCCCCGATCGCTGTCAAGAAAGAGTAATTACTGATCAAACTTTCTAAAAAACGCATCCTGTCAAGTTTGATGTTGATGGTTGGCCTGTCTTTGAGATCACGGCAGAGGTCTGTTGGCTGAACGTCAGTTTTTGTTTTCGCAATGAATCTTGTCTACAACACTTGCCTTCAGAAACCAGCACAAACTTTTTTCCTTCTTCATCGTCCATATCGAAGTCCGGTGAAGTAGCCTCCGAAAGGTCAGGTGATGTTCGCAGCCTCCGTCCCTGATTGAGATTAAATCACGCCCGTCGTGGAGATCATTACGTACTGAAGTAGACTCATGTAGATTCATCTGTTCTTTCAAATGCCCAATGAGTTGCTGGACGTCTTTGAATCGCCTCATCTCATCCAGACTCAGTCGGATGGGAGTACTGCAAATGAAACGATGAGAATACAATAAAATTGGAAGCAACAACCTCAAAAGTTTGTCCGTTTTGACCGCTTTGATAATGTTGTCATCAATCTGAGCCTCGATCACGGCCTTTTTTATGTCTGTCTCTGTATCGATCATTTCCGTTTTGACCACTTGCAACTTCATCTCAAGATCTAAGGCCGCAATATCATTTTTGTCACGAAAGATGATCAAAATGCCAATTGTACGACTGGAAGTCTCGAAACTTTCATTTATGCGAATGAGTTGAATTTTGCTATCATAAACATCTTTTGGCAGGGCAAGAGGCTTATCCTCATCGCCTACTGCATGCTCCAGAAAAGATACGGTCCCATCTTTGAAGCATCTCTGCCAGTCTCCACGACGATGGAGTGCATCATCTACTTCTGCGACATCGTAGATTCTCCTCTTCGCACATGATAAGAGTTGCTTACAGCTTTCATCCATGAGGTCAGGATTCAAAACACCCTTCATTTTCAATTTAGATGAAATTGAAACATAATTGATGTAATCGCCAAGATCTGGCAAGTTTCCATCAATTGCCATCCTCTCTGCTGTTCGGATACATTCATAGAAATGATCAGGCATTGAAGATGATATTGATTCTATGAGAGTCGGGAATACTCCAACATCAAACATTATGCTTTCCCGAGTAATCTGATCTGCACCACACTCTTCCAACTTTGCCTCCGCAAATAATTGAAATATTCGAACTGTTGAGTTCAAACTATTACTCACTCGTTCGAAGTATTTTGACTTTTTTTCGTGGAACCGCCCCAAAATCGCGATTCCTCTGTATTTCATCGACATTGCTTCATGATAGTCCTGGAGAGATATGTTAAAAAAGAAGCCCACTCAAAACATTCTACCCTTATCTACATGATCTTTATCATTCTAAAATTCTTTTCGATCGTCACTCCGAAGAAACCTTGAAATCTTTGGGAAAGTCTATCTAATTTGACGTGTCAAAAGCCAATGCATTTCTTGTTGAACGTATGCAAAACATTCTCAAGCATAGAAGCTGCAAAGAGGTGCATGCGCTCAAATCTTTCGTCCAATCTTGACACACCTGGTCTTCCAATTTCATCTTGAAAGTCTCTTTGTAGTCCTGAAGTCACTATGAGAGAAGAGACTAATTGATTGGGAAGTTATACCAGCTTGTTCTCCATTAGTGTAGTTGAGTATGGAAAAGAACTAAGGCTTTCCGGACAAAAAATAGATTCAATTATGCGACACAGTTGTAAACTTTAGATCATCAAACACTAACCTTTCGACTTCAGGGTTTTCTTGCTTGATGGTAATAGACATATATTTTGTAAAATCTTGCGTGCTATCTGCAATAACAATTATCACAAAGAATAAGTTTCACTTTATCACACCTAGAGTGATCAATTGTTGCCATGGAACAAACCTAAATTCTGGACAATCAAGAGCATTCTGTAGCTGTTCATTCATTTTCTTGACCCAACTCTGTTTCGACTTCCGCCAGTCATAATCATATTCTCGTTGTCCAATCGTCCACCCCATATTGCTAACCCACGTATCAAAACTGAGAGGGGAAGCTTCTATTTTGAAGTCAGTCTTAGTTTTGACAATGAGACTGCCTTGTAGCTGTTGATTGTATAAGAAAGCTTCAAAGAAAATGCTGCTGATCTTTGTCATTCTAAACAAGACCACATAGCTTCCCGATTCCAAAGCTTTTTCCAAGATCCTGAAGGAGAGTAAAGGATGACCAGATTCTGAAGAGCCTAAGAGGCGAAATTTGTTAAGGAAAGCTTCAGCTTCATCGAGAATCTGTGCTTTTGACTTCTCCCTTTTATGAGGATAGCTCATTATTGTGTCCCAATATTCCATCAATGTGCTTTGAGATTCAATGTTTTGTTGCCCGATCTCCTTTTTAACTGTGTAATTCACTATATTGATTATCAGACATCTTTCTACATTTTCATCCGACAAGTCGCAGTCGTTTTCTTCTTGCCACTTGCGAAAGGATACAGAGGAAATCTTTCTTGCTTTGAAATGTTTCTCGACCAGGCTAAAGAGACTCTCACCGAGATGTCCACCGAACGAAGCAACGTAATTCCGTACCATATCATCTAAGTACTCTGTGTCATCGTATCTCAAAAACAAGAGCAGGAATAGTGAACAAATCCTCCATTTACAATTGGCACCATCAGCCAATGAGTGAGAGGATTTCATAAATTCTTCGATAATGTTCTTCAAGTCCTTTTGGAAATGTTCAATGTGGTTTGAGGAATGACCAACTACAATCGCCTCTGCAATTTTTCCTGTTGCCTCAGTTGCTTGAAACCTGGATAGTTCTTGATTTGAAATGTTTTTTTCCAGAGCGGTGCTGATGCAATTCAAGAGCTGGGGTGTTCTGCCATTCTCAACGATACGCAGATCACTAGCAATCTTATAACGATTGAATTCAGAAACATTTTCGCAATGGTTTGCAGCATGATCCAGCACTTCCTTCAATTCATTATTGATTCCAAAAACTCCTTTTATGTCATGCATCAAGTATTTCATGAACTCTGAATCATCAAAAGTCTTTGAACCACTCGGGCATGTCATGTACAACGCCCATTGTTTCAGCTGAATATCCTCTGTGGGTTTACTGGGTTGTTCGACATTGTAGCCAGCCTTCACTGGAAAGTTCTCTATGATTTTCCTACAAGCATCGAAGATGATCAGCAGCCTTGCTTTGGAATCCTTCTTGAAGGCTTCAGACCAAAATCTCAGAGCACTGCTGATGGAAAGTGCGCAAATATCTATAGAACCCAAGGAACTTAGATCGTCATTGCTGCAGTCTCCAGGAATCATGTAGACCTCTCCCGTTGGAAGTTGGGCGCCATGCCCAGCATAGAACAAAATGACTTGCTGTGGTGAATCTCTACTGAGATCTTTGAAACCAGATCGCAGAAATCGTCCTAAATCAGCTGTATTCTGCACGTCAAGGTTCAACATTGATCTACAACGCTCAGCTTTGGATAACCTCTCATGGAATTCCCGAGCATCTCTGGCCGCACTCCTCAGCTTATCAAACTGTTTGTACTTGTCGATTCCTATGCACAATGCACCGACCTTCAATCGATCAGGCTGACTGTTCTGCATACTCTCTTGAACTATGCCTGGTTGGAGGCTCTCATGACACCATGTGCCCAGCCCCGGGCATGGCTCTTACTGTCACAGCTGGGGAAAAAATAAGAAGAGCAGTGTGGTAAATATAAAACCAAGCCCACCTCAGGTATGTAAGTAATGAACATGACAAGACATCTACATACCCTATCTGATGCCTGACCTATTTACACGTTGATATGGAGCCGATCACCCGTCGCCATCTTCGACCCGCTCATCGCTCGCCAACCACAACCAGGCTGGTCATCGATCCTGTCTTCCTCTCCAAGGTCAAGTCCTTGGCTGAGGCCTCCGATGGCCTCTTCCTTGCACAATCGGAGGCTGGTGACCCACAGTATGTACGCTGGCGAGATGCGATGGCAGACCCGACGCTGGAGAGCACGATCTGCTGGGCGAAGATCAAGAACGCCACCCGAGCTATCGAGAAGCTCGTGCGGTCCTACGACTTCTGCGTCTACAAGCTCTTAGATGTGGTACGACAGTCTATCATCTTCAAGGACCTCGACCATCTGTGCGACTGCCTGGACAAGATTGCCAGGGACCCGGAGATCGAAGTTGTACGAATCAAGAACAGGCTGGATCCAGACTTCGACAGCAAGATATCGGGGGGCTACCGAGACATTGGGATAAACCTGCGCATCGTCAGCACCCAGACGAAGAAGGAGGGAGTGGAGGGGCATATCTGCGAGCTCCAGCTTCTGCTTGAAGACTTCCACAAGCTCAAAACCCTCGAAGGGCACAAACGGCACGTGCAGTTCCGAAACCTCCGATGCGAGTGATGCCTTAAACATCCGTAATTCGTAACCGTAGACTACTTCGTAAGAATTTCGTATGATTTGCGGGAGAGGTGGTTATGAAAAAACAGAGGAGGACGAGACTTAGAATTGCCATTGGGCTTTAGTTCTATTCGTCTGCCTCCCCCCTATCGATCGTCCCTGTAGTGATCGTAAGTTACAACTTTCGCTTGCAGAGAGAGAACAGACCTCCCAGGCTTGAAAGTTTCCTGACGAGTCTTGTCTTCCGATGATCTTCTGCTCGAGCAATGGAATTGCGTTCACGTTGGAAACGATACTCACTCGGCTTGTTGAATGATTCTGTTGCGCGGAATTTTCTCGCAAGAGGATTTGGCTGTCGTGACTGAATTGTGGGAGAATTTTTCTCGATGACAGACGCTTTCAAGATGACAACATTCAGGGAATTCACTAGGATCATTCGAGCATGATCATACCTTCTCTTCCCCTCCGTCTGCATGCTTGCTTTGTTGTTTCTTGAACTCTCGGATGTATCTGGTGAAAGTATCAACCATCTCAACACCTAACATAAACAAGCAAAGCAGGAAAGAACCTCTTCAGAGAGACATCTGTTCTTTCAATCTGCCTCTGACAAACAGCGTCTCTCTCACGATGAGAAGAGCCGATAAGAATCTTGTCGATGCTGCCCTTGAACAGCTTGGCAAACCTCTCCGAATTCTTTTCTGCTGCTCTCATGGAGTCGTAGGTCTGCTTTCCTATCAGCTGATGGCCGCTGGATTGAGAGATTGCCACTGCATTCCCAAACGCTGTTGATAAGTTGAACTCCACATGCTTGTAAAACGTCAGACAAGGCAAACTGAACGACCGGCTACCTCCAGGCCGTAGAGTTGAGACCTGAGTCTGTCAAACTTGTCTTGGTGTTCGATGGGCTCTAGGCGTTTCATGGAGCTTCTTAGTATCATCTCGCTTGTTCTCTGCCTGAGTCCAATCGAAACCTTTCAAAGTAAAATGTCAACAAAAATGGCTGGCATGAACCTTACACAAGTTATGAGCAATGGACAAGGATGCTGCACAACCGCTGTGTTGCTTTTCAAACTTCTCTCTCTCCTCTGTGATGTCCTACTTCTCATCTTCTCTTCCAACATTCTCACGCTTCTGTTTCAACCACCCGCTGTGAAATGAAAAACTGCCTCAAAAACCAACCAAACAAGGGAAAAAAAAAGGTCAAATTGCTGGTTGTCTTTTTTATCTTTTACAGTGACTCAGTGTCTATCGGACCAGCTATCGGACAGTTATAGTCTCGGCCCTTACTCAGTCTATCGGACCAGCTATCGGACAGTTAGTCTCGGCCCTTACTCAGTCTATTGGTCTATACAGTGACAGTGTGCCTCTTGAATTCCTCGTACTTCTACTATGAGGTTGAGTAAAGGTTCTCCCTTTCTTGCCCTGGAGGCTTTCCTCCCGCACGTTTGAATCCGCGTAATTCCGTATCCTTTCATTTAAGTACTCTAGACAAACATCTATTTTAAATTGCCCCTTCTATTTGATATACGGCGCAAATGGGACTTGACTGTAAAACTATTATTCAGAGTTATTGCATTGTACCACAAAGTACCCACCCACTTTAGATCAAATTGTGGTGTTCACACCCCTTCACTTTGGGTTTAAAATTTCGAAAATAAGATTTACACAAAAAAAAATCTGGTCATGAGAAAATTTACGTCCCTTGAGTTTTTGCAACCTATCATTGGTTGCCCACCCCCTCTTTTCCCATTCTTTGCTCTGATATAGCATAGGGTCCGAACGAATCTAGAGTTGCAGGAGTATGCTATATGTCCTAGGAACGGTCCTAGAAAGCTCCTAGGGATCACTACACGCAGCCAGTCAATAAGATTATAAACGCAGCCATCATGCTGGGGAAGGGGATTTGAGGTATGTGAAACGAGCGTCAGCATGTCTGCAAGGGACGGGGCTCACAAGATTGAGATCGAGGCTGAAGATGCTCAGACCGAGCCCATCCTGCTTCTGACTCCAAGGAGAATGGATTTCAAGCCAGGCTTCTCACATTTCTACATGCATGTATGCGGTGACTTCCTTCAGAGAAGCACTGCGGAGAGAAAAGTATACAAGCTCAATCCGTGGCTCATTTTGTTCTCCCATGAGCCTCTTTCTGCCGTACTCACCTTGCTTCCTGTACAAATCATCTTCATCATAGTTGGCATGCTGTGGATCATCTTCGAGTCGATATCTCTCAGGCACATTGAATCTACAGGCTACTTCTCTCTGTCTGTTGAGCAGGGAAAAATAGTATCGGAGTTTCTATTCCAAGATTATCTTCCAAAGAGCCATCTTGCCTGCACTTGGGAGTTGTCCCTTCAATTAGCAACCAGATACATCATTGGGGCTTCTTTGATGATTTCCGGCTTCCTGGCGATCAGGAACAAGTTTCATCGATCAAAGCTGGTAGATCCCTCGGTCTGACTCTCATACTGCCAAGTAACGCACATGTGCAGGTCTTGATCTTTGCAGGCTTGCTCGATGCGCTGCTGAACTTGCTCATCTTCTTCCGAATGTCGTCCGAGGGCTATGAAGAGACTGCGTTGGGGGGAACACGACACCAGTTCATGATCTATGCCATCACGGTAGTTCGTGAGATCTGCTAATAGTCAACCGTTGACTCCGTGTATTATCAGGATCTCTTCTTCTTTCCAGCTCCAATGCTCTTCAGCGAAATGTACGTGGTCGAGCAAGTCAGCCTAGCGCACATCACCATCTTTGGTTCTGCGTTGGGAGCAGGAGTCGTGAGATATGAGAGCATTGTCATGTTGGCGGTCACTATTCTCTTTCTGGTCTATCGCGAGCTCACAAGATCGAGAACTTTGAGCGAAGCTTTGCACAGTTCTGGTGTGTTTGAGGAGGAATGGAATGAGGTGAAGGGCAGCCATGCCATGTTTCGTTTGACCAACGCTCTACGAAATGTACGGGGATGGGGGCCCTACGGACCAACCTTCATCTTGCCTTCCTCGGATCCCAGGCTTGTCCCTGGCGAATCTGAAGTAGACAAGGAAATTGACGACGAGAAACTTCGAAGAAGCAACCTTGATCAGCTGTACGCCCAGGCTCTGGTCATCGATCCTGTCTTCCTCTCCAAGGTCAAGTCCTTGGCCGAGGCCTCCGATGGCTTCTTCCTCGCGCAATCGGAGGCTGGTGAGCCACAGTATGTACGCTGGCGAGATGCGATGGCAGACCCGACGCTGGAGAGCACGATCTGCTGGGCGAAGATCAAGAACGCCACCCGAGCTATCGAGAAAGTCTTGTTGCTCTGCGACACTCAAGTGTCCCGCCTTACAGATGTGGTACGACAGAGCATCATCTTCAAGGACCTCGACCATCTGTGCGACTGCCTGGACAAGATTGCCAGGGACCCGGAGATCGAAGTTGTGCGAATCAAGAACAGGCTGGATCCAGACTTCGACAGCAAGATATCGGGGGGCTACCGAGACATTGGGATAAACCTGCGCATCGTCAGCACCCAGACGAAGAAGAAGGGAGTGGAGGGGCATATCTGCGAGCTGAGGCTGGCTTTGATGTCGCTTCATCGGAAGACTAGTACAGGCATGTTTCAGAGGTACCAACGGGTGAAGCAGGTTCTTCGCTTCCGCACAGGGACGTCTCAGCTGGCGAGAAAGTATGCGGATGCTCCGTTGAGGACGCGGCTGTGGCGCTTGATGTTTCCGATAGCTCCAATACAAGCCGTATCGCCTTCTGATGTCTGGACGTCGCTCCTGCTGTGTAAGGCATCCACGGACAAGTCGGATGATGCTCTCACAATCTTCAAGGGGCTGTTCCCAGGGAACATTCTCGATGATTATCTCTTCACCAGCGCACATGGTGTAGTCGATGCGGCCACATCTACCATCATGTACTCGTCGACGCCGCTCAGAAGCGCTTCCTACAAGCCCTTCTTCCAGGTGTTGCTCTTTGTTATTTCGGGCGCCTTTGCATACTCAATCGCCAGTAATTCATGGTTGAGTGCGCGTGGAGTGATAGCGAATGGGAAGTTCAGCGCTAGGCACTATCGTCTAGATGTGAATGCCGATCCGTCGATTGCTGTTTCTGCACAATCACAATCCTTCCCGAATCGCTCGTTTGCGATGACAAGGGATTCTTGTCGGCGATTCTATCCATCCGCCATCTCGGTGGCAAACTCTTCTATATACTACACCTTCGACGAGGACATAGTCGCGAATGGATGGCAGATTGACCTCAGCGCGACTCTCTCTGCTCTTGCCTTCCATCCTTACAATTTTTCTTTATTTCGTTTTGAGGGGGGCTCAGACCCGCAGCACAGCTTGCGCGAGGACTGGGTCTTGGTAAATAATTTTACGTGCGCAGAGCATCCTGAAATCTCCTTCTGCGAAGCAAATGGAACAGTAGCTGACGGGCAAACCATCTCCTTCGACCTCCGAGCATCTTGGAAGGACAACCTTTTTTTTTCCTTCTCTACCGTTCAGGCTTCATCTTGTTTTCTTGGGGGTGTATTTTCTGTTCTCCGAAAACCCAATCTAGTCAAATTCTGTATCGGGTCCCCGTTCCATGTTGTCGGTGTAGCGGAAATCGCAGTGGCATTTCCTTTATCTCTCAAGGACAACAGCCTGATGACTCTTTCTTGGGGAATAGCCGATTTCAGCCTTGGGATGTTAATGCAATTCAGAGAGCGATACTCGCTACAGTATCTGCCTCTCTATGTGATCTTCACTACTTTCTTCAACATCGCTTTTTCGACCTCTTGGTTTGAAGATCCTTTTGATGCATCGTATTTTCCGTTTACAAGCTATGTCCTAAGTGGCCTCTGGCTCTACTTTCGGTTCAAGAGGGATTATCTCTACCGCAAGGCTGTGAAGCAAGTCGAGCCCGACCGGTTGAAGTACGACGAGTGCTGGAGCAGGTACATCTCGAATGAGCCCTGCAGGAAGCGACTCGAGAAGATCAGTGCGCTGTGTCGTCCTCACCTTTCAACCCGCAAAGTACAGCAGAAGTGTCGCAGAGATCCTCAACTCCTGCGCCGAGACATCGCCATCTTCGACCCGCTCATCGCTCGCTATAGCAACGCAGGTGGCAGTATCTTCGCTCCCGTCAAGTGCGGCGGCATCGAGTACGGTCCCTTGTACTCTCTCGACCAGCTGTACGCCCAGGCTCTGGTCATCGATCCCGTCTTCCTCTCCAAGGTCAAGTCCTTGGCCGAGGCCTCCGATGGCTTCTTCCTCGCGCAATCGGAGGCTGGCGAGCCACAGTATGTACGCTGGCGAGATGCGATGGCAGACCCGACGCTGGAGAGCACGATCTGCTGGGCGAAGATCAAGAACGCCACCCGAGCTATCGAGAAGCTCGTGCGGTCCTACGACTTCTGCGTCTACAAGCTCACAGATGTGGTACGACAGTGCATCATCTTCAAGGACCTCGACCATCTGTGCGACTGCCTGGACAAGATTGCCAGGGACCCGGAGATCGAAGTTGTGCGAATCAAGAACAGGCTGGATCCAGACTTCGACAGCAAGATATCGGGGGGCTACCGAGACATTGGGATAAACCTGCGCATCGTCAGCACCCAGACGAAGAAGAAGGGAGTGGAGGGGCATATCTGCGAGCTCCAGCTTCTGCTTGAAGACTTCCACAAGCTCAAAACCCTCGAAGGGCACAAACGGCACGTGCAGTTCCGAAACCTCCGATGCGAGTGATGCCTTAAACATCCGTAGTTCGTAACCGTAGACTACTTCGTAAGAATCTCGTATCATTTGCGCATAAGTGTGACCTGCCGCGGTCGCACTCGGCGGGCCGCAGTGCGGGCCCCGCCGGGCCCAGTCCTCACTCCCCCAAGGGGTACTACGCACTCCTCAGCTCATGAAACTGTTACTTGTCGATTCCTATGCACAATGCACCCCAGGCTTCAATAGATTAGTTAGCCTGTTTGACTGTTCTGCATATTCTCTAACCAAGTCCACCTCAGGTATATAAGTAATGAACATGACAAGACATCTACATACCCTATCTGATGGCTGACCTATTCGTACGTTGATATGGAGCCGATCACCCGAAGACGCGTTACAAAACAGTTACTAAGGAATGGAGAGGAACAAATGGTGAATGGTGAAGGGCGCGAAGAAAGCAATCAGGCAGAGAGTTGTCGTGCAGCCACAGAGAGAGCAGAATGAAAGGCGTGTGAAGGCAGAAACAATACATATCGAGATGGAGGATTGGAGGACAGATTGGAGGATGGTTGGGAGTGTAAAGACTAATCCTTGCCTACCGTCGGCAAAAACCGGAGTGTGGTGATGATTGTTCTGACTTCTTTATCTTCCAGGTATTTCACTTGGCTGGAAGGATGAGCTTCCTGACCGGGGGCTCTACGCCTGTCAAAGCCGGTGAAGTCGGCGTGGGATGCGCTCTGGGGCAGAACGAAGCAGGAGAGGTGGTTGTGAAAGGCCTGGCGCATGGTGGCCCTTGCCACCTCTGCTGTCAAGTAGCGATAGGAGACGTTGTCGTGAGTGTGGATGGATCTCTCATCAATGGGGATGTCAGGCTAGCAAAGGCACTCTTCCTCGGGGAGGACGGGACGGGCGTCACGCTGACTCTCAGGAGGAACGGCATAGCAAGGAATGTTCACCTGCTGCGAGGGAAACCGATCGAGCATCGCCCTGTCAAGGAAGGAGAGCTCTGCGGCATCGGAGTGACTCTCAACTCTGTACGGGGAGGACTTGCGATATCCAAGATCGCGCCTGGAAGTCCGGCGCAGCTCTCAGGAGAGTTGCAGACCATGGACGTGATCATGAGCGTGAACGGAACGGACGTGCAGGGCAAGTCAGTCCAGGACGTGGTGCCGATGATGGTCGGTCAACCTGGAACTCGTTTGACATTGAGCATCATCAGAGGTTGCGACTCCTTGGTCTCGATCGTCCGTGGCTGTTGACGTCTGTACTTTGACCAGGCCGCGGAGCGAAACGACAGATTGATATGGTACGAGCTCACAACCTGGAGCAGGCGGCTATCCCAAAAGCCTCACAATACCGCTACAATGCATTGGTGATAGAGAAACATCTTGTGCTGCTAGTTGCTCACTGGTGGGCTCGTAGGTGGAGCAACAGGCTCTGTCGTATACCTGGCTTCGCCGAATGCATCGCAAGATCTCCAAGTCGGTTCATGGAGGGCAGGTTGGAAGGAAGATGTCGCAATTTTCATGCAGTGCGTCTGATAGTTTGTCAGGGCACTGTCAATGAAGTGACCTTTGACGGGATCGCCAGTCCTATTCGAATTGCGTTGAAGGTGGGCAGTTTTGGTTCCATCAGTGCAATCTAATGTTGTGATGCATACAATTTCTTGCAGGTTGTGTATCAGAGAGGTTCAAGCTTCAAATCAGCGGAAAGATCGCTCTGGTTGAATGTGGACAACCATCCCCACATCTTGCCTCTACTTTTTACCGCGGGGCCGAACATGTACAACATTTGTTCATTGAGCATCAAGTGTTTGATCAAGCACCTCCAGGCTCTTTATGCCTTTCATGGAGCTTGCTTCAGTCACCGACTGGCTGTCGCAGTCATCGGGTAATCTCTTTCCTTGCAGCCTCGCCCTGCTTAAGAGGCTCTGCAGAATCAAAATCCTTGCCGTCAGAGGACTTGCGGCAAGTTCACCAGATGATCGGACTTCAGGTAACTCAAGAATTCAAGTTCGTCCGACCCATGCAATCCTTTGACTTCACTTGTGCAGGTCTCATGGGCCTTAGAGCACATGCATAAAGTGGGTTTTCGGCTCTAGACCGCTCAGTTAACCTGACTTTGCTGCACAGGTCGGAACGCTACATCTGGACATGAAGCCCAACAATATCCTTGTGCGGCTCCGCGGTGATGGACGGATGAGTCTCTGGAAGCGGCTGCATTGCTTGGGTATACAGAATGAAGGAACGCTAGAAGCTGTGACCTTGCTCCCGTAGTTTGCGATTTCGGGCTGGCAGCTGTCAACATTGAAGGCTCGGCAACAGGAAGAGGAGGAACGCCAGGTGAAGATCAGACAATCACCTCAAATTCTCACCCGTTTCTCTCCCCCATCGCCACTTTGACACTTTGACACTTCTCCCTGTAGGGTTTTGGGCTCCTGAACTGATCCCCTTGGATGGAAGCGGCGTCCCCGTGCCTTACTGGACGGAGGCCTGCTCAGATCCCCCTCCTCACTGCAGAGCCAACATTACTGACAAGGCAGACACTTGGATGTGGGCCACCACAATGCTGGCGATCATGGATCGTCTGGAGAGGATGAGGGGCCAGGGGTATGCTGCTTTCACTGCCCAGCTTGCAAGGGGAGATGGATTGGATCGGTTGATCTCCAACTGTTTGAAACCTCAGCCTCAAGATCGGCTCCCCATTTCTATCGTCTCTTTGACGATGCAGAGGTTGATGAGAGACAAAGGGCTCGATGTGTTCAAGCCGATGGACGAGGATAAGTCGGTCATTGAGTACGCCCGCGCCGGCTACACTCTTTGCATGAGCCTGATGGGGCAAGACGATCCGCAGACCTGGGCTGCGACGGAGAGGCTGGTTCGCGTGCTGCGGACTCATGGAGACTACAAGGAGGCTGAGATGCTCTGCAGCAATGTCCTCGAGCGAAAGATCAAATGTGAGGCAGAACCCTCCTCCATTGCTCGGACTCAGCGCCAGCTGGGGGGTATCTTGGACGATCTCGGGCGATATGACAGTGCCTCCAAGTGCTATCGCGGAGCTCTGGAGGTCCAAGTGCGGTCACTTGGCTCGAACCACATCGACGTGGCGAGCACGAAGGACAGTCTTGGAGTGACGCTTTGGCGACAAGGCAAGTTTGATGAAGCACTCAAGCTCTATGACGAGGCTCTTGTCGTGCGAGAGTCGGTCCTGGGCAGCGAGCATGTTCTGGTCGCTAAGACGATTGTGAACAGAGCTAACGTTTACTTCCGACAAGGACAGTTCATGCGAGCCTTGGCTGACTACAGTCGGGCGCTGGAGATCGAGAAGCGAACACTGGGCGAGGAGCACGTATTGGTGGCAAAGACAAAGAACAACATGGGCGAGGCCCTTCGAGTTGAAGGCAAGTATGAAGAAGCGCTTCAGCTCTATCAAGAGAGCCTCGTGGTCTTGTCCAAGGTGCTCGGAAACTCGCACGTGCTGGTAGCCAACACCAAGAACAACATCGCGGGTATCTTTTTGAAGCAGGACAAGTGCGACGAAGCTTTGCAGTACTACATGGAGTCGTTGGACACCAAGTTGAAGGTGTTGGGCCCCGGTCACGCTGACGTCGCAAACACGATCGAGAACATCGGAGTCATCTTCGCACAGCAGGGAAGGCATGATCACGCGCTGGAGAAGTTCAACGAAGCTCTCTCCATCCGCAGCATTGCCCTCGGCCCCGATCATCTCGACGTGAGCTCGACACAGTACAAGATGGCTCTGGTGTATGAGGAGAAGCATGAGTATAAGACTGCCCTCCCGCTCTGCGAGCAGGTCTGAGAAGTTCCTTCCCTCCTGAAAAGTTCCTTCTTTTGCTGACAGACTTTCAGGCCCTCCAGAAAGCGATGAAGGCCATGGGGGCGGAGCACCCTGAAGTGCAGAAGAGGAAGCTGGTGCGAGATCGCCTGATGGTATTGTGTTATGCTGAGATATCCGTGTGGACTAACATGCCATGGCAGCACAAAGCTGTAGGATGAGAATGGAGCGGGAAGCTTCACTTCAAGTCTCTTTAAATCTGAGTAGACAGATACTGATTGCATTGATTCATTAAACACACAAGCTGAAGGGAACCTTGCCCTCAAGCATAATGAGGGTTCCATTCTCCTCCATGCATCTTCTGTATGTTCTCGAGCACACTTTTCATCACCGAGGCTTGCTGTATCATAGTGCAAACTTCCACGTTGAGCGTCTGTGCTATGGTAGAAGCTGTTGAAAGCATCAGGTCAGGAGTTCAACCACGGCATAATTAGCTGAAAGCTCACCGTCATGAGGAAGGTTCGGAAGGATTTCTTTCTTTGCTGGAGCTGCAATCTTCGGTGCTGGTTGAACCCAACCTGCAGCTGGAACAGGAGCTACTGCTGCGTTGGTAGCGGCTGCGCTCATGGATGCCGCATGTTGATTTGCAGGAGATACCCTACCTGAAGAGAAAGGGATGGGGTGGAAGGAGGAAACCATAGGATTCTGTCCACTCAGGACGAAGTAGGAGGCACCGGTAGGAGAGGAGGAGGGGGGGGGAGGACGAGCGTCAGATACCATGGGCATCGCATGGAGCATCAGCGGAGGCCCGCCGAAGCCATGGCCATGCTGCCCCACCCGCGCCGCCTGCATGACTTTGAAAAGCTATCGAAGCAACTTGGTTTTTAGTCAATTCTTCCAGTATCCTCAAGGATACATATGATATCTGTTTCCACCCCAGCACAGAAAGGGACTGAATCTGTTTTGGTGCAACAAAGGTGCTGGGGAAATGGGCGGAGGAGCGAAAGGAGGAAGGGGGAAGGCGATAGAGGAGGAGATAAGGGAAGAGGAGGCCACGAAGAAGGAGAAAAGAAAAGAGAAGGGGAGGAAGGAGGAGAAGGGGAAAGAGGAGAAGGGGAAAGAGGAGAAGGGGAAAGAGGAGGCAACGACGAAGAAGAAGACGACAACACAGAAGGGGAGGAAAGAGGGAAGGAAAAGCGACGTGGCGGACATCAAGTACATCTTTGAACAATATCTTAGTCAATCCTACGAGAGGGTTCAGTCGCTGAATTATGAATGCAAGTGGTTGACAGAAAACTTGCATTTCTTCGAGTTCCCCATGTTGCCACCCTTACATTGTTGGGCAAAGATAAATGAAGACGACGAGGAGATTTATGTTGTCATGAAGCATTCTAGATCACCTTGCGACATCAAGATCTTCACGTTCATGGGGGCAAAGAATCTGGGCTATGTCGTTTTAGAATCCTACGATGGAGTGAACTTTCGGAACTTGTACAGCTATGCAAGGACTAGGAAAGAAGTGTTCGTTCAGCGCAGAAAGCAACGTTTTTCAATCGAGCACACAGGAGAGGCGGCTCGAGTCTCCAAGGAATGCTTCATCTTCGGCCATTGCATCGACTTTGCCGACACACCAACTCCAGCCGGCATTGTAGAAGCGAGCCAACTATCCTGCAATCATCCGGCAAACATCATTCTTGAACCACGCTGCAGTTGGGCTCAAGTTCGTGGCGCGGCCGTTTCACAATGCCGTTCGGAGGGAGCCTCCTACTCTCAGCTTGTCTTGTACGATGAAGACCCGCCAATCTCTTACGAATGTGGGGGATACCCTGTGTCAAACGGTGTCGTGCTGTTTCGATTCCACGACAACCGTGGAAAAGGTGTTTTGCAGGGCTGGCAGGTACCCTGGACTGATTTTCAACATGACGAATTGTTCCAAAATCTCAAGAGATTGAAAGGAATCTTCACCAAATTAAGGCGATACCTCATCATACCTCCTGTAGATAGCAAGATTGGAAATTCCATACATCTTGCGTATGAGTTCCAAAAAATCCCTGAATGGATGAAATATATGCATACAGAGCTGACTGATTTGTTAAAGGATCAACCGGTCAGAGCTTTGAACCCAATGCAACGTTACTATCTTCAATTGTTGGCTGACAGTGAAGCAACCCCGTCCTATGCACTTTCTCTCATACTGTGTGATCTACATGAACAGCGTATCAAGAATGCCAAAGCATGGATAGACAGGTCGATCGATTACTGCCAATTCTTGTCTGAAAACCATCGCACCGTCATCTGCATAGGCTCTGGATTCCTTGAAAACCTAACAAAGTTTCAAAACGATATATCCGATTTTCAAAAGGTCTTTCAGATCTTGACGACCCTTGCAAAAGTTGAAATCCCCAAAACCAAGTGGCAGAAGAAGCAATTCTTGGTCATTCTGGAGGAAGCATGCAGCGGAAATAATGATCAGAAAGCAGCGGGTCTCAACACCGAAGAGCTTATCTTTGAATTTCCGGGCAGATACAGGAAAGCAGACAAATTGATATTGGGACCCGAGCATGTTGGTTGTCCAATAACGATAATCATCCACAATTCTACCCAATCGCATAGACAGAATCGAAAGAAACTGAAAATGAAAGTAACGAAGTGGTTCCGCAACAACTTTAAAACCTATCCAAACCATGAATTTCTGACTTACAACTTGTCCAAGTGCCCAAAGTTGTCAGTTTTCAACGAGAATGCCTTGATCTCTGATTCTCTGGCAAAAGATCTTGAAACTCTCGAAGCTGATGGAGGCTTCTCAGCGCCATCGGAACAGTCAGAAGGAAAGGTCGTCTTTCAAAAAACGCTGCATGTCGGTAAGATGGCAAGTTTGATAGAGCGAGATCAAACAGGATCCAACAGAGTCCTCGGGCACATTTATATCGAAAAACAGAGCAAAGGAGATATCGAAGATGAAGTCCTTTACAAGTCGCAGAAGCTTCTTACTAAACACAAGGACCAGCGCCTACTAGAAGCCTTCACCCGAGGATCCATTGAGATCGATCAAAGTGTGTTCTCCAGCACGCTACCAGCTCCCCGTGAATGTGATGCCGACAGCAATTTATAATGTGAGATAACACAAGCTCTTTGCAATGTTGACAAACATCGAAAACTTCATGGACTTTATTGCGATGGATCAATCTACAATCGTCCTCCGAACCCCTGAACAAAGGAAAGTTACAAGGATCTTGGCGTACCATCGTAGAGCACGGACCTTAGCGTATCGGTCGTTGAAGATTGAGAACTGCTGGAAGCTGTACTCCCGGACAACCTTGCTGACCTGTATCATACAGTCAGAGATTCTAGGGTCAAGGGATATACGTACTTCTCTCAGCAGAGGTCTCTTGTTGTATGTCGCAACGCACTCCACCGTGCCGTCCGGCTTCTCCACAAGAGCCTGAGAGGAGTCACTGAGATGTGGAGGATAGACTGCCTCAAGCACCTGCCATGGACCAGGATACTGCCGAAACACCCATCCCTTGCTGATCCTCTTGAGGTAATAAACTTGTTCAACGCCCTTCGTGCTGCCGTCACGCTGCGCAAAGCTCTCTCTGCCTCAACTTGCCTCGATGGGTCCCGCAAGCTCGTACGTCCACCCACCTGAAGCACTGGGGCGGACTCAGAGGCTCGAGCTGCAAGGAGGAGGAGCGACCTGTTGAGGAAGATGAGAGGGCTGCTGGGCCCTGAGTAGGAGAGCGCCTTCTTCCACTGCGACACGTCACCCGGGTTGACGACGATGGACTGAGGAGCAAGTGAGATCACAGAGCAGAGGCATCCGCATCCTCCATGTCATCTCACAAGCTCTTGCCTCTCCGTCAACGTGCGGGGAATGGTTTCTAGTCGCCCGATCCAGACGTTCTCACCCGGGGAGTTTGCATTTTTCTTACTGGTTTGGTCGCAGTACTGCACGTACACTGGCTGACCCCCCGCAACGGCCGCAAGAGCTCTCGACCAGTAGAGGTTGGCGAAGTCGATGAGAGATCTCCTCACCTCTATCTTGTACTTCTGATCCTCCATCCCCAGCACATCGCGGATCTCGATGGCGAACTGCTGATTCAAGGCAGTCCCGAAGTCCACCTCCTCCAGGTTGGGAACGGGAGGAAAGTTGACCTCCATCCTTGTCAGCCCGTCTGCCAGTGCCTGTCCTACCGCCTTGAGCATCTGGTCTCTTACTTCCCCGGTCCCTTCAATACATCTCTCGGCTCCGTCTGAGCCAGGGTACTTGTACGTTCCACAAAACCACCCGTTATAGAGTGTCGGCATCGGATACTCAAGGGACGACGCCTGCATGTTTGTCTCACTCAGCTGTCCTCCTGGCTGCTGCTCGTTCCCTCCACCTCCCGCCGCGTCCCTTGTTTGCGGCTTCTCCCAAGTCGTCTCACCGGTGACCTGTCACACGAATGAGGCGAGTCAACGGCAGCCATGACCGTCACCTTGTTCCAGTAGTACGGGGATCCAGAGGCATCGTCGAAGAGCTCCTCCCACACCTGCTCCCTCGCCACGCTTCCCTCCTCCTGCTTCTCTGCCCTCTTGAAGATGGTATCGAAGAAGTTCGCCTGGAGGGAGATCATGGACCATGGACGGGATCGCACGAGAGACAGCTCTCCTCGTGTGCTGATCGATGTGTCCTTGCGGAGGAGGAGGCAGGAAGGAACCACTCCTCCCTGGAAGCAGGAGGCGGAGCCCCACATGAGACTCGTCAGGAGCACCGGCACCAGCGCCTTGACCAGCATGGCAGTGCCTGGCACCCGAAGCACTGGCCCGCCTCAGTCTTCTTGTGGGTTGCGACAAAAGGAGGACATGCTAGGAAGCGTGCAGGAACGCATGCGGGGCAGGAGGGAGGAGGGAGGAGGGAGGAGGGAGGAGGGAGGGGAGGGAGGAAGAAGGAGGCTAAGCAGGGCGTGGATCAGAGAAGTGAGGAGCCAGGAGGAAGCTGAGCAAGGCTGACAGCTGGTGTAGGAGGGAGTTGGGAGTAGATTTCGACTGGTGGCTTAGAGCACCATACAAGCATCATAAGAGGTGTGCGAGAGGGTTCCGTTTGCATCTGACGGCTCACCTCGTCTTCCTTTGATCTGATCTTAAGGCATGACAGGAGCTTTCGAGTGAAGTTTGTTCCTATCCTAGCACCCTCCGTGTCCCCGCCATGCAAATCATTTGAAATGGTGTATTCTTGCCACCACCCCGTTGCTCTCGTCTACCTGATCCTCCTCCCCCTTTCTCCTCTCCTCCTCTCCTCCTGTCAACCGTCCCCAACTCTGACATCCCCTAACCTCTTCGCTCTCCGCCCTTCCTTCTCTTCGTCCTGAGCTCGCTATCCTTGCCTACCCCTCACCCCTTGCATAGCCCATTCCCACACACCCCTGCCCTCCCTCCCTGCTTCGTTGTTCATGGTTGGGATACAGTCCATCGGCGAAACTGGACCTTGCGGTCGAACTCGCTCGAAAGTGAGCAAACGACCATCGTACGAGCAAGACTGGTACCTTCCTCTCGTTCCTGTGCTGGACTCGCTGACAGGGGTTTCTCAGCACGATCCCTGTTAGCCTCTGCAACTCCTCCCCATCCTCGGAAGAAGAGGAGCAGATGGATGAGCGGCTTGTATGGGAGTGGTATGGCACCCCGATCAAGAGGCGGGGGAGCATCAAATATTACAACGGGGTAAGAATGGTTGTTGCTCTCCCTTCCTCTTACTCGCGCGTGCAGATCTGCTGCTTTACAGGGAAGACGAGGAGTTACTTCAAGGTCGGGGACGACATTGAGGTTGCTTCCTCCACACGACTGCCCTATGTCGCGAGGATCGAGGTACTTCGCTGCTGGGAGATGGCTTGGCAATGAACGCATCAGCAGGCTCTGTTCACGGACTCGAGCTCGATCGGTGACGAGGAGACCAAGATGGCGACGCTTCGTTGGTACTTCAGGTGAAGAAGATGAGAGGTGTTGTTTTGGCATTCTTCTCTTCGTCTGTGATCGGTGGTTGTCGGTTTGGTGAGGCTCAACGTCGTTGATTGACTTCCTTTTGCAAGGTTGCGAGATTGCAGGGGAAAGGAGGCCGCCAAGAAAGCGCAAGAGATTACATCATCCCATGAGCTGTTTGCTTCGTCTTGTCATGACGACAATCCTGTATGTTCCGATGCTCAACATCATCAGCTGTTGCAGATGATGGAGGGTTGCAGGTGCAATCTTTCATCAGGATCTGCTACGTCGTTCCAAGAGTCTTCTATGAGGCTGAGGTAGCTGTTGGAAGAGCATTTTTTGCGCGTCTTACACTCGATGTCCTCAAGATCTGCGAGATCTACGATGACATGTACTATTGCCGCGAATATTACTGCGCTATGAAGGGGGTGTTTCTTCCGCACCAGGTGGACTTCAGCATGACCAGGTGGTCGAAGTTTGCGCGAGTATCCCTCGATGGCCTTTCATGATATCTTTCGCAGGCTCCTCTGTGAGGTGGAGAAGCGGAGGAAAGAAGCATACATGTGCTGTAAGATCGGCCCCCAGCACCAGTGTATCATCCCCGACATGCAAGGGAGCTCCAGCGTTGATCGCGGTCTCTACTTCCCCCTGCCCCGTACCCTATGTTCGCCTCTGGTTTCCTCCCTTGACCCAGCCATCGTCCTCGACTCTTGTGACGAAGATGGAGCAGGAGACGTCTGGATGTTTGACTCCTCTCTCGCTCCCAAGGTTTCTAGAGACGTCGATCAGTTGGTGGACAGGTGAGGGGGAGCGAACAAGAGCGGAGGAGCGAAAGATGGTGAAGACTCAACAGGTGGGCCTCGAGGATGAAGACAGTGAGCTCTGGGTTGCTGCGAGAAGTTGTGCTCATCGTGTTCATGCGGTAGCCTCACTTGCTCTCTCCTCGGCGTATGACGTGGCGGCAGGAGCCGGGGAGATGCTGCTGCTGCTCAGGAGCAGCTGGAGGAGCTGTTCAAGGAGGATGTGAGAGCTCATCAGTATCACTGGCAGACACCAATATGACTTGATTTGTCAGATCTGCTATGGACCAAAGTACATGGAGTCGATCGTTAGCCAGCTGGGCGGGAGGAGGTCGAGGAGGAGTCAGGATGCCATGGACGACGATTCTGACAGGGAGGATGAAACGGAAGAGAGCAGTTGGAGCGGCAGGTACATGAGCTTTTCGAAGGAGGAGGATACGGCGAAGAAGTTCAAGAAGGGCAGAGGGAAGGGGGTGATGCAATCTGTCGAAGAGAGCTTAGGAGCTCTCAGCCACGCCAAGAGATCGTTTTCTACCGATCCGGAGGTTGTGGACGGAGATTGTGTCTACGACAAGCACCAGCCCTGTAGCAGAGGAGAAAGAGAAGGACGAAGACGCTCTGAGAAAGCGACAGACTTGCTAGATGTGCTTCCTTCCTCTTCGTCCTCTTCCTCCTCCACCTCGGGCGTGGAGGTGGTCCGAAGCAGGAGAGGTGTGGGTTTGAGGAAGCAAGTTGAATCAGTGCCACGGAAAAAGAAAGCACTTACAAAGAGGAGCAGATCACAATCAGAAGACAGTAACGTCGAAGACGAGAACGACGAGAACAAGGACGAGGACGAGATTGAGGGCGAAAGCGGGGAGAATGAGGACGAGGATCACGATGAAAGCGGGGAGGAAGACAACGAGAACAGGGGCGGGATGCACCCGGAAGCTCAAAGTCAAGGAAGGAGGGAAGGATGGCCTCCGGTGGGAAGGTCGATTCTATGCTGGTGCTCTTCTCTCCGTAGGCTGTTAGGTCGTGTAGATTGTATCTGTCGGTTTTCGGCGATGCTGTACAAATGTACGAGTGAATGAACGTGACAAGTAACAGAGTTGCAGGGTAACTATTGGGTCACACAACACGTTTATCTTCGTCAGGTGCACACACAGAAAGAGAGGAGAATTAGGAAAAAGTCATGGCTGATTGAAACATGTCCCTGTCCTGTGTAATCCAAGGATATTGGGTACATCACTTGTCGAAAACTTGCATTAGAATTGACTTCACTCTCCGTCGAGAGATCGTGCGACACATCGAGCAACTTTCTTCTTGTACGTCGCGTAGTCATCACGGAGTTCCTTCTGCTCAAATAGGGTCAGGAAAGAATCAAACAACACGACGAGGTCACAGCAGCATCGAGGTTCGCGGGAGATTCATCCGTAGGGTCTGATAGCATTGAGATCACGCTGATCACAATGGTTTCCACCTGGCCCGGCATGTCATACTAAGACGCTGAAGAAATAAGGGAGAATTGAATTCGGGAGAGGCAGGCGAGCGTTGAGCGACGACACTGAAGAGCACAGCAGGCAAACATCCCATGGCATACGGGGATCCTCTAGGCAAGAGGGAAGGGCTATGAGCGGACCGTGTGGATCGGGTTCCAGCGCATCGAAGCTGATTCTTGCGGGTTTGTCGCGTCTTCACCGGGCTCGTGCAATATTGAGATGCAGACATCCCCATTGGGGTAAACTATTGTTGCAATGAGAACAGTTTCAACATCAGCAGCTCCTGCTCACCATTTGGATGCCAGATGGGTGTGATGAACTTCATCTTGGGAGGTCTGTCGGGATAGCTGGAAACAGCCCAATCAGCCCCAACATCCCCTCATCGCCCATTCTCAGACCTCTCCGGGAATTTCAGCTTCGCGTTAAAGATGCCCCCCTCACTGCATCGCAAGCCATTAGCATTTCAGGGGAATGACAAGCATGCAGTACTAGAGCGTGTCGGGAGGCCCTGTGATGCAGATATCCCATTCGTAGATGTTGGAATCATCGGACAACCCTGTCAACACTGAGATAAGTACCAGTATCATTGAGCTCTGCAAGTTCGACCAGCTGAGAAAAACTCTGGAGGCTTCTTGACCAGATCTGAGGGGAGTGTAAGGGCCGAGAGTCCAACACGAGCTCTGTAATGTTCAACCTTTCAACTGCTGATGTAAAAGCAGAGCTGCACGAGACTGAGAAGGTCCTGACATCTCACGAATTCCTCTCTATCTTGTGGGTATTGATCTGTGGAGTAGGCGATATCAGATAATTTCGTAAGACATACAACTGCATACCCGACGAGACTTCCAACAGCCGATTCCCGTTGTGTGGAAGCTCAGTCCAGAACTATCTGAGAATGCTATGGTCACTCATGGTAATTCTCAAATCTCTCCACTAGTTTCAATCTAGGGTTACAAGACGCATACAAGCTCCTCATTCAAACCTTCTATAAGATACATTTTCAAGCACGACTTTTGTGCGAATGTTCCACCATGCCATGCTAAAGTAAAATTAACAAAAAAAAAAATTACTCCTAATACAAGCTGCCAACAACTGACTTTCACAGCTGGAAATGAGAGTTTGAAAAGATGCTTGAACACCCTCTTCTCCTGTTTCTCTCCTCCTGCATCCCATTTTCGTTTTATGGAGATCCCTGCTTTCATCCACCACCCAAGATAACATTCGACACAACACCAGCACTCTCCATCGGTTTAGTCACGGCGACAAGTAGCATGGACAACGCTTGCCTGCATATCCCCTGGTCTTCGGCTCCTCCATCCTCGTGTCATCCTCAAACTGATTCTCAATCTCCTTCCCAACCAACTCTCCTCTCCCTCTCCCCTTCCTTCTCCTCACCATTGCACTTCCTACCCCCCTCCCTCTCCTTCTGCCCCACCCATTCTCCCCCTTGGACATCGCGTCTGATTGGCACGCGTCTTCTTCCTTGTCCTTCTTTTGCTCTAATCCCTTTCCTCTCACCATCCCCAAATTTTCCTATTCTCATAATTAGAAAATAGCTCACCCTCACCCCCCTTTCGCTCTGTACTGAATCAAGTTCCCTCCTAAAAATGGTACTGCCGAATTTATTACTAAACCACATTGGTACAAGAAAGCTACTGCAGATAGTTAGAGTAACACTACCGGTTCTAAAATATGTACAAAACTTTTTCACTTAATTTATTTGACCTACCCACCCCTCTTTTGAAATTCTGTGAGAAGCCAGAAGATTCGATATCTACTAGGCTCTATAGTCAAACAATCCCAGCTTCATAGTCAAACGCCTGGTCAGTCTGCACTGCAGGACCGGGCAGCGACCGGGCCCGGACCGGGCTGTAGACTTCTGTAAGGGTTGGCCCGTTCCGCTGTGCAGCGAACGAGGATGGCGGATGATGCGGAGAAGATGCGGGCCAGGAGAGAGCGAGCAGCTGCATGGGCGGCTCAGAGGAAGGCAGAGATCGCATCCCATCCTAGTGATAGCACAGATACCAACATGACAACGAACAACAACTCGAAGGCCGACTTGAACTCGACGGGGATGAATCAGTGGGTCAAAAGCGAAACTGGAGCGGAGAGCGCAAGCACGGCATCTGGGAACGATAAGGGACACCAACACGCAGCACAGAGCTGGCTCAATTGGTCGCACCAAGTTGTGGGGAGTGCCGAGAAAGCAAGCAGTGCCAGACAATCAGAGTCTGGAATTCGTGCAGAGATGGTGAGTTGGAAGAACAGGGAGGGTGGGATACAGACGTTGGCGAATTCCTACGGAACCCACAACAGTGCTGGTATGCAGCAAGAAGAGGTTGAAAGGATACTGGAGGACATGGACGAAGATTACCGTTTACCGAGGACCTATGAGCCGCAAGGATACATCGATGTGTCTCGGTGTGAAATTGCAACCATGGTACTTCACTATCCTTTCAAGGCGATGATGTGATACCGTGACAGGAAAAACCGATTTCTTGTGATAATATTGGATATCAGATGTTGATGAAAATGGGATGGAAGGGTCGGGACTTGATTGCGCTTTGATCGATTTGGAATGACGATGTCGTAGGCCATGGAAATGGACTCGGGCGGTCTTCGCATGGTATCGTCGACCCTATTCCTTTGACGTCAAAAGATGTCCTGGACCTTGGATCAAGGGTTGGAGTCGGTAAAATGGAAGAAGAGAACGAAATGCACGAAGTAGCGACAGAGTCTCGCAATGCTCTCGAAGCAGAGATTCAGGCATGTCCAAACATGCAATGGAATTTTTTTTCAGTGAATGATTTATTTGTTGGTCACCTGTAGGCAAACGAGTCCGAGGAAAGGAAGAAACGACGAGAAGATGTGAGATTATTTGGCCATTCTTTCTGTCCTTTTTCTTTTCAACGCTGTTCTAATCAATTTGCTAGATGGTGCTGCGAGAAACAAAGATCAAGGAAGAGATCAAAGAAATCGTGCGGGTTTTCTATTGCGAGATCTGCGATAAACAATACACGTAATATTCTTGCTTTAGATAGAAATTCAATTCTTACTGTTTAGCCCAGCACGGACGGGCAATATCAAGAACACTTGAATTCTTACGATCACCATCACAAAAAGAGATTTGCAGAATTTCAAAAAGAGCACAAGGTACTTCTTTGGCTGCAAGCAGCGTAGGGACTTCGATAGTAACACAGCAACAAGGCCATGAAGGGTGGTCCAACCATGGAAGAGCGCCAAAGAAAGGAACAGAAGCGGCTTGAGAGGGAGATTGCTGCTCGCTCAGCAGCTTTCAAGGCTGCAGCAGTAGCACGGTGCTCTTCATTCTCAAGGGGCCAAATATTGGATTGACATGTTCATGTAGATCAGGAGAGACTGAAGAAAATACTGCAGAACCTCCGAAAGAGCAGGAGCCTGCTCAAAACGAGCTCACATCCAACTCTGCTCCCGTCAAGTTTGGATTTGCGTCAAAACCTAAGGTGCATCTGTAACTGCTTTCTTTGTCCAAGGGGCTGATAACTTCGTATCCAGGCAAAGGCGGTACAAGCCAAAAAGCCAGTAGCTCGACCTCCGGTGTGCTTTATATGTTTTGTAATGGGCTCGTGTGTGATGAGAACGCAGGTTATGGGATTCGGGGACGATAGTGACTAAACATCGTCATCATGCATCTCACAGGGAATTACGTGTGCTGAGTCAGCTAAGATGAAACTAGGCGATGAGAGAAATTAGGAATCTAATTACCCCAATTTCAGAGCAATTTTCCGTTTACAACTTGATGTATTCTGCACATTGGTATCGAATCTCTTATCACAGATCTAGTTATCCTCGATCTTGTAGAAAACCTGTGTTCCATGTCAATGGACTATCCATACAGGCAACGCAACGCACGTCAGAGGCATGGTCTCCAGCACGCTCATTCGCCATCGAACACGGATCCTGGGTCATCAAAGACGGAGTGGGTGCATAGCAAAGCTGAGCGAACTGCTGAGCGAAAAGCTGTTGGAAGCATTCAACAAGCTTCAGTTATGTAGAAGAGCAGGAAGATGAACCATTACCCAGTTGTCTTGTGACGAAACGTAGTCACCGTCCAACAACATAGTCTTGCGAAGGATCTGGAACTGAATAGAGCAATTTCAGCAATTCTCGAAATATTGTAAATCTGAAAGATTTTTTTAAGATAGTGAACTTGTTCAACAACAGCAAAACGAGACGGTTTCGTTCAAATGTTTCTTCAAAACACAACCAAAATCGGAAAGCAACTTCTTGTCATCAAGGTGAAACATTCATCAGTTCAACAAAATCTCACACAGCCCATGCACACGAAGTTGTCATTCGTTGCACTGTGGCATCAAGGAACACCCCTCAGTCCTCGTTCCTCACTCTCAAACCCGTCACCGGACATCGTTGCTGGACAAATTCAATGAGAAGGGAGCGGCATTACCATGGCTGATCCTATTTCGGGTAACAGTGACCCCTGAATCTTTTTTTTACTTCAATTTTTAGTCAAGAGGTTGCACCCGAGTCCACCTCACGGCAGCTCAGGGTCTTCTTTACTCAAAGTTAAGTTAAAGATCAGTACGAGGACAATCAGGAGAGTCGAGGAGGCTTGACCCTGACACTTGGTTCCGGCGCTTAGCACGCCGGACACAAGTATTGCTGGCTCTACTCTCCTCAGCCGATTGTCCTCGTGATAGTACTGATTTTTAACCTAGTGAACTTTGAGAGCGGCCTGGGCCAGTGATTGCCGCGTGCGGCGGGGCCCGGGGGGCCCCCGACGCCGAACTTGAAACCCGGATTCAAGTTCCGGGCCCGGGGGCCCGCACACGACCCTCAGACCCCAACTTCCAGTGAAAGCCCCAGAATGGTTGAAGAAACTTGGACCAAGGGCGTCACGGTGCCTGACCTGAGTCACTTTCAGGGTGACACCGTCAGTGTCAGGGTCACCGTGTCACGTGTATTGCTCGAATAAACAAACTTAAACTTTTGAGCCTCCGGGTGTAGTGGGTGAGCGGGTAGGCCCGGTGGTGGGACTCAGGGACGGGGAGGAGAGGAGAGGAGAGGAGAGGAGAGGAGAGGAGAGGCCCTGAGAAGCCTTGAGGGATCCCCTTCGGTCCTCTCCCTAGTAGAAAGCCATCCGCCTCAGACCATCAGTACCAAATGTTCAAAAGGCAGCGACAAGACATACCCGGAAGATCAGTACCATCTCTCACAAAAGGAGCAACAAGACATAATGGTTAAGTGACACACTATGACCAATGGTGACCCAAATCTCAAAAAAAACGTCGAAATCGCGGTGTGGTGCAAACCCCGAACGGTAAAACAACAAAGGAGCAACGAGAATATAGAATGTTGTGATTAAAAAAAAAGAACATCCCTGCAAATCCACCGGTACAAATCAATTCTTCCGAAGTCTAACTACCCGTCTGTTTATCTATCAAAGTAGAAGTAGGGGTGGGTACCAGGTTTGTGGCTCAACAAACTTCGAATATTTCCCGCCTTCCCGCCTTCCCGCCTTCCCGCCTTCCTCCGAAGTCTAACTACCCGTCTGTTTATCTGTCAAACTTGAGTAGGGGTGGGTACCAGGTTTGTGGCCTTCCCGCCTTCCCTCCCTCCCATCCTCCCTCCCGCCTTCCATCACTCCCTTCTTCCCGCCCTCCCTCCCGCATCCACTCCCACTCTCACTCCCTCCCTCCCTCATTCCCGCCTTCCGAAGCTCCCGCGTTCACCCTGATCAAATATGGGGAAAAGGAAAAGAGGAAAACAAAGAAAGTCTTGTTCTGATTCACAGACGACTGTCAAGATGTGTTTGAAAAAACATCTCAAACAACACACAATGATCGGTGTGATTGATGATTGGGTGAAACACATAAGCAAAATAAGCCATCGAGGTAGCATCATCTTCAATCATCTATTGTTATGGTGTTTTGAGAAGGATTCAAGGCAAGGTGATGATACGTACATTACAAGGCTGTTTGATCAGATATACAATCGTACTAGAAAAGTAACAGACAAAGAAAAAGAAGAAGGGATGCAAGAAGAAACGGTCAAGACCAATGGTGGAGAGAAAGTTTTCTTTCGGACCTGTTTTCTGATGGGTGAAAAACGCAGAGGTAATGCAATTCAGTTTGATATTTTAGACGATATCTACCAATACAACGCAGGAAAGAAGGGGATATTCGAGTACTGTACTATTCTGCTGATCAATATGCAACAAATTTCCAAAATTACATATTCTATACGATGGGACAAAAACAGACTAGATACATAAAGGAATGGGGAAAGCTCAATGGGATTTCTTCAGAAAAGGAGATACAGGATATACGGAATACAGTAAACGGATGGAGCTTTCCACCAAAAACTCGTGTTCTCGAAAGACAGGATGTCATTGATTTCATAAGGGAACAAAAAGAGATCATTGGATGGGACAATCATTATAACTTGTCATGGGCCCGTGACAAAATCAAGAAAAACCCTGAACAGCAAAAATGGATGCAATTACACATGCCAAATCTTGTCAAGTACCATTTTTCGGTTCTGAGGTTTTTGGAGATTCATGATATATCTGGTCGATACACGATCGCTCCGATTTTTCAGATACGCAAACAATTTATTCGCGTAGACATTTGGCGTTTATTCTACATTATGGATCAATCTGGTCTGTTGCAATATTCAAAGGGTGGGAAAAGCAAATGCATGAAAAAGTTCATACAACAAAAGCATAAGCGATTCTTGTCGGTGTTGAAGCTACAATCAAATTTGAGAAAGAAAGGGACAGTTGATAGCATACAGACTGACGGAGTCGCACTCTGTGTGACGTTCAAGAAGAGAATACACAATGAGACAGACAATACTACTACAAAGAAAAGCAAAACAAGAGATTGTGATGTGTCCTCAAGACGAGTTATTGCAATCGATCCTGGTCGCAATGTACTGATATGCGGTGTCGAGCAAATACCTGGTCAAGAAAAACCAAAGCAGTATCGATATACTCGAAGGCAGTACTATCATGAGTCTCATATTACTCAGAATAACGCCAAGTTAGAAAAATGGAGACAATGCATAACAGAAGAATCAAACGATATTGCAAGAGTGTCAGCAAAAACGTCTCGGTTGGATCACTTTGAAAGATACATCGACACCGTGGTGAGACTAAGCGAGATCCTGTTCGAACACAATTGTCAAAACAAGTTCGCACGCCTGAAGATGGATAACTACATCCACAAACACAAGGCGATTGATACGTTCTTCAAGAAGATGAAAGGTAATGGTTCAGATCAAAATCCAATAATTGCATACGGTGATGCATCATTCGGTTGTACTGGGCGTGGAGAGAAGTCAGTGCCTGTAAAATGGATCAAAAGGCGATGTCAGAACTTCTTCGAGGTGACGGCAGTTGATGAATACAGAACAACAAAATGTTGCAATCAATGTCATCAAGAATTGTATGATTTGAGACGCAAACAAATCAACAAGAATGGTATACTTGCTGACGAAGTGTCAGTGGTGCGGGGTTTGAAATGGTGCAGATCCACCAATTGTGTTCAAAACCGTATCAAGTCTCGTGATGTCAATGCTGCTATGAATATTCTATTGTGCTACATGTCTCTACCAGCACGACCAGATTTTCTGAAACGGCCTTGAATCACACATGGGTCTGGTTATACTTCAACCTGTTCTTCATAGAAAGGATGAAGTACGAGTCAGACACAAGGAAATATTGGCGTGTGGGTCTTCCATGATCCATAATTTCGACGGAAAATTTAGAATTTTGAAATTTTATGTTTTGTGTCGTTTAGCTAATAATCTAGCCGCTGGTAGGATTAGCTTTTCTTTTTTTGGGCCACCCCTCCCACCTTCTCTCCCCTCCTCGTACTACCCCCTACCCCTGGCTAGAGCGGCCTCGCACCCCCTCGCTCCCTCGCTGCACGTACCCCCCTTTCCCCTCCCCTTCCTCGGCCCTACAATGGCAGCGAACCAGGGAGCGCTCCCGTCCTTCATCTGCCCCATCAGCATGGCGCTCATGACCGATCCTGTCACCAGCTGCGATGGCCACACCTACCAGAGATCCTCCATCGAGACCTGGCTCCGCCATCGTCTCTCCAGCCCCCTCACCGGCGCCCTCCTCCCCTCCGACCACCTTGTCCCCAACCTCGCTCTCCGCAGCGCCATCCAGGAGTGGCAGGAGCGACACGCGCTGCTCGTCCCCAGACACGACGTGGAGATGGAGCGGCAGCCTATCTCAGCAGGCTCCTCCCAGACCCTCTACATAGGTCACCTCCGCCTGCGAGGAAGGAGAGCAGGGCCCGGCAAGATCAAGGTAGCCGTGCTCAAGCTCAGGCAAGACGACGGCGGCAGACAAGCCGCGGTCATGCTGAGGCTCGGGCCGCATCCTCGGCTTGTACGCTACATGGGGCAGAGCGAGGACGCCGACGGCTGTCCCCTGCTGCTGACCGAGCTCGCCGAGCTGGGGTCGCTGAGGGAGGCTCTGCTGGGGAGGCTGGCGGGGCAGGTGACGCGAGGGCACCAGACGGCGATGATGCAGCAGATCGCGCAGGGGATGGAGCACCTGGCTGAGCAGCGTGTCGTGCACCGGGACCTCGCGGCTCGGCACGTGCTGGTGATGGGCTTCGACAAGGAGGACGTGCGGAGGACGTCGGTGAAGGTGGCGGGGTACGGGCGGGCAGCGGAGCTGGTGGACGGCAGTGACGGGAGGGTAGCGGGGAGAGCGCTGCCAGTGCGGTACATGCCCCCAGAGTGCATGCAGAGAGGCCGGTGCTCGGAGAAGAGCGACGTGTGGGCCTACGGGGTCACGTGCTGGGAGATCCTGACCTCGGGCATGACCCCCTATTACCCCATGACGGACCCGACTGTGATCGGGTACGTGTGCGGGGGTGGGAGGCTGCCTCGAGAGCACCTCCTCGGAGGATGCCCGGACGGGTTGTGGGCCGTGCTTGAGAGCTGCTGGGCGACGAGGGAGGAGGACCGCCCCACGTTCGCCGAGCTTGCGGTAGCTGTAGGAAGAGCCGGAGCCGAGGGGGATGAGGGGGCTGCTGCATGGACATGGTCAGACAGGACGCCTGGACAGCAGCGGGCAGGGGCCGGCAACCAGTCACTATGCCGAGGCATACGCAGCATGGCAGAAGCTGCATGGAGAAGGATCGGAGAGGCAGCGGGGGGAGGGATCGAGGCGGTGGCGAGGAGAATCAGGACGCGCAAGTACGGAGAGCTCGTGGAGCTGCAAGAGTCAGCTTGCACCGCCTTGGAGTCCACGGGGAGTGACGCTCTCAGCTCGCTGAGGACGGGAGCTCAGGCGCTGCCGGTCGGGGCGTCGGCAGCGGTAGGGGCACAAGACAGCAGCGGGATAGAGCAGCCGGCAAGGGAGGCATGGAGGCTGCTGAGGACGGGAGCTGACGACAGCATAGAGGCGGTGATGCAGGAGATGAGGACGTACGAGGCTCTCGCGGAGGTACAGCAGGCTGCGTGCAAAGCCTTGGTCAGCATGGCTCAGAACGGGGAGGCTGACAAGGTCAAGGCGCGGGAGGCGGGAGCGATCGAGGCCGTCGTCAGCGCCATGTCCACGCACGCTGACGACGCTGGTGTACAGCAGGCTGCGTGCTGGGCCCTGAAGAACACTGTAAGCTTGATGAAAGAGAGCCAGGCACGGGCGCGAGAGGCGGGAGCGATCAAGGCCGTCGTCAGCGCCATGTCCACGCACGCAGACGATGCGGGGGTACAGCAGGCTGCGTGCGAGGCCCTGGTTCTCACTGTCAGGTTCAGCGAAGAGAGCCAGGCACGGGCGCGAGAGGCGGGAGCGATCGAGGCTGTCATGAGATGCCTCGACAGGCATGCGGACGACTTGAAAGTACAGCAGGCTGCGTGCAAGGCCCTAATGCACACAATGCAGTACATCCGACACCAGGGCACAGCGAGAGATGCAGGAGCGATCGAGGCCGTCGTCAGCGCTATGACCAGGCACGAGAGCAACGCAAAGATACAGCAAGGTCTATGCGAGGCGATGACAGCGATAGCAAAGAGCCACGAGCAGAACAAGCTCCCGGCCATGCAGGCGGGAGCCATCGAGGCCGTTGTCAGCGCCATGTCCACGCACGCGGAAGACGCTGGGGTACAAAGATCTTCTTGTGAAGCACTTCAGAGCATGACGAAGGGCATGGCTGACCGCCGGGCGCGGGCGCGGGCGCGGGAGGCGGGAGCGATCGAGGCCGTCGTCAGCGCCATGTCCACGCACGCGGACGAGATGTACTTGCATTGGTCAGCATGCAAAGCGCTCCAGAGCATGACGAAGGACATGGCTGACAGCCAGGCGCGGGCGCGGGAGGCGGGAGCGATCGAGGCCGTCGTCAGCGCCATGTCCACGCACGCGGAAGACGCTGGGGTACAAGGATCCTCTTGTGAAGCACTTCAGAGCATGACGAAGGACATGGCTGACAGCCAGGCGCGGGCGCGGGAGGCGGGAGCGATCGAGGCCGTCGTCAGCGCCATGTCCACGCACGCGGACGACCGATGGATACAGCGTGACGGATGCAAGGCTTTGCACAGCATGACGAAGGACATGGCTGACAGCCGGGCGCGGGCGCGGGAGGCGGGAGCGATCGAGGCCGTCGTCAGCGCCATGTCCACGCACGCGGACGACCAATGGCTACAGCGTGGCGGATGCAAGGCCTTGTACAGCATGACGAAGGACATGGCTGACAGCCGGGCGCGGGCGCGGGAGGCGGGAGCGATCGAGGCCGTCGTCAGCGCCATGTCCACGCACGCGGACGACCGATTGATACAGAGTGAAGGATGCAAGGCCTTGCGCAGTATGACGAAGGACATGGCTGACAGCCGGGCGCGGGCGCGGGAGGCGGGAGCGATCGAGGCCGTCGTCAGCGCCATGTCCACGCACGCGGACGACCAATGGCTACAGCGTGGCGGATGCAAGGCTTTGCACAGCATGACGAAGGACATGGCTGACAGCCAGGCGCGGGCGCGGGAGGCGGGAGCGATCGAGGCCGTCGTCAGCGCCATGTCCACGCACGCGGACGACCGATTGATACAGAGTGACGGATGCAAGGCCTTTCGCAGCATGACGGGAGGGTGGAGGGGCATGAGAGGAGAAGGAGCTGTTCTCGTGGTGCTTGAGCCGCTTGATGGCAGCAGGAGTCCAAGTCAAGGCTCAAATGCCTCTAGCGCTCACAGATGCTCGCTTGACGCTGCTTGACACATGCGTGCTCCAGCAGGTGCTCTCCCAAAGAGCTCCTCCGAGACTCCAACAAGGTCCCGAAATCAGCACCGGTCGACTCTTTTCAAGCACCATTAGTATCTTGTTCGAACGATCGTGGAAGAGTGCTGGGGCCTGGTGGAGGCGAGCAGGGCGAGGGAGTCGGGCTCGTACAACGAGGAGTCAAGATAGAAGGAGGCGATCGAGCTGTCGAACCGAGTCAAGGAAATGGCGATCAACAAGCTGAGAGCAGAGCAAGAGGCTGTGCGGGATGTACGGCTTGTCGATGTGAAGGTCGGGCCAGCACGGGGAGCCACCGACAGTGACGGCGTTGGTACGAGGACAGGGGGAGCTGATCGGGCTGCTGAAGGCGGCCGGATACAACATGGACGAGCGGACAGAGGACGGGAGGACAGGGATGCATGTAGCGGGGATGCTGGGGAGGGCGGGGAGCGTCAGGGAGCTGATCGAGGCAGGAGCAGAGGCAGGAGCGAAGGACAGGGCAGGGAAGACGATGGTGCACTGGGCGGCGGAGTATGGGCATGTGGAGGTGCTGAGGACGGTAGAGGAACAACGCAGGAAAAAGACTCTGAACAACTTGATGTTGAAAAAGGACTCTGACGGCAGGACATGCGCGCACTATGCGAGTGCGGGAGGGCACTTGGAGGTAGTGCGGTATGTTGCAGAGACATGCGGGGAGGAGGTGCTGAGGGAGAAGGACAATGACGCCGCAGTGCGCGCACAAGGCGAGTATGGGAGGGCACATGGAGGTGGTGCGGTATAATGTAGAGACATGACAGTGCGGCCCCCCGGGGAGGAGGTGCTGAGGGAGAAGGACAAGCACGGCAGGACTTGCTTGACTTTGACTCGTGTATTATCTTATTTATTAGAATCGCTGTCATACCTATCAGAGCCCTAGTAAAAGCGAGCTCACCTCAGACTGGACCTTCTTCTCTTCGTTTGATCTGGCGATTTCTGCCCCGGGACCGGGTGTAGCTGAAGCCGCTGAGCACCGGGCCGCGGCCCCGGGGCCCCGGGGCCCCGGGGCCCGGCCAATCTTTGGCACAGTGCCGGTGTATTGGCCCTTTACTACGTTTCCAACTTTGAAGTTTGGAGGGTGTAAGTTCTTCATGCACATGTCATAGAAAAGTTTCTAGGAGAACAAACTCCATGGCCCGCCAGGATCCACGGGCGGCGAGAGGCGGGAAGGCAGCGATGGAAATGGTGGGAGGAATCTGAGGAGAAGGAGGAGAGGAGAAGCACTTGAGAAGAAGCCGAACATCATGAGCCTCCCATCCAGAGACAGGGACCTCAGCTCGCAGAGGGACCTCACCCCTCAAAGCACTCCAGCCAGGAGCACCTCTAGAAATTCTCGAGCGCGAACAGACGTTGACATGTACAGCCCAACACCGAATGGCGAAGGCCAGGCAGACATGTTCTCCTCAGTCGATGCTGCTGCCCAAGAGATCAAGCGCGAATTGAACGTACAGGTATTTCTTGCTTTGAGGTGGTGGAAGCGTCCAGTCTGAGTTGATGGCACAGGGCGAGATGGTCAGAGACAACCGCGACCGTGTCGAAGCCATGCGGAAGCAACTCAAGAGATTCCAGCAAATCACGGCAGACAACGACAAGGAGATCAAAGCTCTTCGAGCTGAGCGATTCAAGATGATGAGCGAAATGGCAGAGGTCGCACCTGAGAGTACCATCAAGTTTGCGTCGGAGGAAGACACCATGAGGCGCAACTTTTCCAAGTCTTCATTTCTAGTGCCGCATGCTGACTTTTCTCACGAAGAGCAGAAAGAGCTAGAGAGCCGGGTCCTTGAAGACGAGAGCGAGATGGAGGAGTCTCGCACAGGGAGTGATTCTGACAGCGAGGTTGGAAGCGTGTGTGGAAATACGGGAATATCTGAAGATTTCGATTACGAAATTGATTCTATACCGTCAATCAAGCAGTACAGATCTCAAATATGTGAGCCGAAAGCTAGAGAGCAAGACACAGAGAACATCGCCTTAAATATCAGCATCGACTATACTTTCGGTTATGGCATTCGCGGTGTTAGCAATAACCTGTTTTGGACAGCCAGCCGTCATTTCGTATATTTTGTCAGCTCTTTTGGTGTGGTGCAGGATCCAATATCTTTGGAGCAGCGTCACTTCATTGGGCATAGGCAACAGATAAATTGCATCTGCCTGCATCCCGATGGATGTACTGTGGCTACGGGAGAAAAGGCGCTCGAACCGAAAGTGTATGTGTGGGACAGTAGTAGTGCATTTCCGAACCCAAAGGCTGCACCTATTCAAGGCTTTCACACCAAGGGTATACGATCTATGTGTTTTGGGAAGGACGGCAGATATCTATTCATCGTCGGTTGCGATGAAAACAACACCATCAGCATGTATGATTGGAGAGCAGGACAAATCTTGTGTTCAGAATTCGGGGGAAAAGGCTCCATTTTGATGGTTCGATGCAATCTTTTTGATGGAGACTTTGCCACGGTTGGCCCGCGTCACATGAGATTATGGAAATTAGTAGTTTCAACCGGCATGGAGTACATTAGCGGGTCTACACCCATGAGCACTTGGCAAAAGAAATTGAAATGGGAAAACGGTGTTTTTGGTCGTCATGGAAGGGACAAGTCACATACATTGTTGTGCGTTGATTTTGTTGGACCGGGTATCACAGTGACTGGTTCCAAGGCCGGTGAAATATTTGTTTGGAAAGGATTAGTGTTGGTTCAGAGTGTACAAGCACATAGGGGACCAGTGTTTTCTCTAGCAGTCACCCCCATGGAGAGCTTTTGTCTGGTCAATAGTGGTGGAAAAGATGGGCGTGTGGGATCATGGATTTATGATTCGAGTTTAAGGATTTCGGAAACATTTGTAGAGCTTCCTAACAACTATCAAAACACTGTTCGTGCAATGAGTCGGCACTCGACTACAAACGAAATTCTTGTTGGAACCGCTGCTGGGATAATTCTGAAGCTGAGCATGAATTCTGATTTGGCATGGAAGACTGTTGTAGATGGGCACGGACGAGGAACCTTGAATGCAATTTCAGTTCACTCCAGCGGGCAAATGTTTGTTAGCGGTGGGTCAGATGCAGTATTATACTTGTGGCAAATTCGACATTCGGAAGCCCTTTGGAAATGTGTGCTTGCAAATTCAATCTCTAGCGTTGCTTATTCACCTGATTGCTCCAGAATAGCGTGTGGAATGGAGAAAGGTGGGGGTATTATCGTTTCACAAACTCCTTCAAAACGTCTTTCGGTAACAAGTTACAAATGGGCAGAAAACTTGAAGTTTCCGATCTCAATTATTTCTTACTCTCCTGATGGTGGATTGCTTGCATTTTCATGCAAGAACAAAATTGAAATTATCAGCTCGAATTCCACCAGAGTGAAGCTTGGATCTTTTGGGCACCATCATTCGTCAGTGAAATCCATTGATTGGTCTTCGGATGGGGAGTATATAGTTAGCAGTGCTGAGAATTATGAATTGCTCTTTTGGTCGCGTTCATCGTGTTCACCAGTTTTTGCATCGAGTCTGGCTGAATTGTACTATCCAGACAATCGTCCCTCATGGAAAACCTGGACTTCTAGGCTGGGGTGGCCAGTCCTTGGATTGATCGCCGACAATGAGGATGAAAATAAGATTGCCTCATTATCCCGAGATTCGACTGTAAATAGATGTGCCGTCGGATACATTGATGGAAACATTCGTTTGGTCCCTTATCCCTGTGAGACGTCTTTCGGATCGTGGAAAGGTCAAAAGCACATTGGACCTGTTTCCAACGTGGTTTTCTGTACCGAGTTAGATGAAGAAAGGGAAACTGTAAATGCTCGAACTTCTCTGCTGTCAGCAGGTCTTTTGGATATCTGTTTATGTATGTGGAAGGTGTACAAAGCAAGTGATGAGCTTCATGATGTCGATTCTAACTTCAAGAACGTCAGAGAGCAGCACGAGGAGGTTCATCGATACATTGAACTTTCTTCTCTTTATCTGGAACAAGTCGCAAGTGAGGTAGATCCTGTATTACATCAAGAGCCGGATGAATTTGAATCGGTGAGGCCCTTTGCGCAATCTATCTACCCTCCAACAAGTTACACCTACAGTGACCTAATTCAGCACAAGCTCCAAAGAATTCGAATATGTGGGCTGACATGTTTACATGGAGATTCAATTCTTCTCGGAAAAAGGGACTCGACTGTTTTGTATGCAGCGGATGGTCTTTGCATTGTGCACAATCTTTCTCCAGACCTTGACGATCGAATTCCAACCCAAAAATGCTTTTCAAGGCACAAAGGCAGCGTCATTTCGATGGATCGACATGTAGATCAAGTTACTGTTGTGTCTTGCGACAACGGCAAAGATTCGCCCATTTTAATTTGGAGCATGGAATCACTGATGTTACAGAGTGAACTTACTGTTCCTGAGGGAAAGCCTTGTTTAGTCTCATTCTCCCAAGACGAAGAAGGACAATTTCTCGTCGTGTTGAGCGTATCGTCCCGAGTCTTGATCTGGGTCTGGGATTGGAGACAAGCAGAAATCATCGCTATGGAAATTGCAGATGAAAATATCCACAACAAGGTTCTTTGTGTGGCACAAAGCTCTTTTCAAAACGTTTCAGGTTTCAGTGTGTTGACTTCTGGAGTAAACCACTTGAAGTTGTGGAGATGCTACGGGTTCTCAGATTCTCACAAGAAGATGAAAATGCAAGCTTCTCAGCTCAGGACTAAGAATGAAGACCTCCCACTCTTCCTGAGTGCAACCTTTCTGTCTCAAGACTTGTTTGCTACGGGGAGTGAGTGGGGAGAAATCTATCTTTGGAAGGATGTGAGCCTGATTAAGAAGTTCCAGTGTCACGCAGGACCCATCTTTGCTATTGAAAGAGATGATTTGTCTGCAACTGTCCTCACAGCAGGAAGAGAGAAAAGTATCAAGTTCTGGGGCTATGATTTCAACCTCAAATTTGAAATTTCTCTTGAACAATTTCTTGATGGTTCGATAATTGAGGATCGCAGAAACAAGTCCAATTTCTGCATTTATTCAGCTAAATGGAACTCCTTGCATAATCGAGTCACATTTGTGACATCTACGCATGACTTGTTCCATTTATCATTCCAGGAAAGTACCCTCAAGGAAATTCAGTACGACCTTTGCTACCATCACAAGGGGAAAATCACGTGTATTGCTTCTCACCCCAGAAAGCTCTTATTCGCTTCGGCGGCTGAAGATTACACCATTCGAATCTGGTCGATGGAAAGAGACCCTCAGGACCCTCAGCTCCTGGGAATCATTGACCTTCCGGAAAAGCCTACGGCAATCTGTATGCTTGGATCGGAACAAAGTCGTTTGATTGTGGGGTTTGTAACTGGAATGATTACTATGATAGAAATGGATCAACTACATGGACGAGCTTCTCTTGAAGACTTTAAGGTCTCAGATACTGTGAAGAGGTCTTCCGAACGAGTTTCCTGTCTTGCAGTTTCACCATGCGAGACGTTCCTAGCATGTGGGAGTGCAGATTCATCAATTTATCTGTTTGAAATCGCAAGGCGTCTGGAATTCGTGGTGGCGCTTAAGGGCCACATGGGTTTTGTCAGTGAGATAGATTGGGATGTTCAAAGCAGATATTTGCAGAGCACTAGCTCTTGCGAGGAACTCAAGTTCTGGAGTTTAGAATCACGACGGGAAGTGAAGCGCGGAAATGAAGTTTGCGATTTGAACTGGGCAAAGTTTACATGTCGATTTGGTTGGGCGGTGCAATCTTGTATTCCACCGGTGGACACATCAATCCTCAAAGTTGTCTGCCGTCAAAATGTTGAACCATATAGATACTTTTGTGCTGGGTACGAAGATGGTTCCATCAAATTGTTTCCCTTCCCGTCCAGAAACAGCACTTTTTGTAAATCGTTTCAAGCGATATCGAGTAATATTCAGCATCTAGCATTTTCTTTTGACGATTCCTTGTTGGTTGTAGCGAGTGGAAACAATCCCATTCTAGAATTTTTCCATGTCGCGGAAGATATTCCTATTCCTGAAACCAATGATGATATCGAATCTATCATAAGGCGCTATGACAAATTCAGGAAGGAATTCGTTGATGATGAGAGGGATACGCCCGATACAGGGGAAGATGAAAATATAAGCGTAGTCAAGCCGTACTTTAAAGCGCTGTTTCCTCCTGACAACATTTCCAACTTGAAATCTGGTCAAAATAACATCAAGGGCATAGAGTTGGACCATGTCTATGGCTATAGAGGGTATGATATGAGAAACAACGTATTTCATTTGAAGACAGGAGAGTTTGCCACATTGATGTTCGGACTTGTTGTAATTCTGCGAGAGGATAGAACACAACGACATTTCAGGTCACACTCAGGTCCAGTGAACTGTTTGACAGCCCATCCGAATGGTTCCCTACTAGCTAGTGCTGACGTACACAAAGATGCAAAACTGCTAATGTGGGATGTAAGCACTTTTGAGATCAAGAAGAGTCTGTTGTTGAAGACTGGGACGCTGTTGGATAGGATTTGTTTTGCGGGTCCAAGTGCAAATCTCATAGTTGCACTGGAAGTGAGCAAGCCGATGACAGTGCACATTTATGATTATAAATCAGGAGCTCTATTGATCTCGCAGCCAGCTGGAGTTTACAATGTGCTGGACTTGTCAAGCTCTGGAGTAGAATCATCCTTCGTTACCTGTGGGGTGATGCATCTGGAATTCTGGACGTTTAAGAAAGGGAAGTTGATTTCCAAACAGGCAGAATATAGGGACAATTTAGCAGCGAGAACTATGACTTGCATCACATTTGTCAAGCGCGGTGACTCTTTGCTCACCGCTACATGTTCAATTGATGGATACATTTTCCTTTGGAAAGAAAATGAAATGCAAACATATTTTGCAGCGAATTCAGATTCCATATTTGACATCTGGTATCAAACCAGTAGTTCTCGCTTTGTGGTTGGGTGCCGAAACGGAACTGTTTCAACATTCATTTTTCAAGATAAAAATGACGTCCCGTCTTTGCAAAAAGACTTCCAACACGAGTTCTTGTATTATTCTTGTCCAGCTTGTGAGTTCATATCAAGCACCTTTCACGTCAAAGAAAAGCATGTGACTTGTCAGAACTGTGATGCAGATTTGAATCCGAAATTCTTCCACCGTCCATGCATTCGGTCGATAAGTATTGCTCGAGGGCAGATAGTATTTGGTACATCGCGAAACGAACTAATTCTTGGAGACTTGGTTTTGGATGCATTTCAGTTTCAAGTAGTTGGTGAAGGGATTGGATGTGCAAGTCTTTCGAATGTATTATATCATCCTTCCAATGAGACTTGGCTGTTTGCTACAGATTCAAATGGCGAGCTATCTGTAATTGATGATAAGAAATGCAAGGTCATTAAGAAGTTTTTGTTACGTGATGGGCTGGATGGGACTGAGAAGAAGGATTGCGTATTGGCGTCATGTCAAATAAGTGATGATGGAGGCTTTCTCATCGCTGGGTTCTGCAGTGGAATACTGAGTATCAAGCCTATCATTTTTGACAAGCACGTTGTCTTACAGCCTCCGGTGCGAAAAATGTTAAAGGGTTCTCAAAAGGGAGCAGGACTTGAATTCGTCAAATTTTCTCAGCATCAAAACGGGGAACGGCTTGTGTGCGTTGGATTTGACAATGGTACATGTGAACTTTATGCAATAACAGATCAATTAGATTTGACATTTCTTTCTTCATTTGGGGGTCACGATGGTGCAATTGTAGATATCACATTCAATGATGGAGGCCAGTATTTGATGACCTCGTCAAAGAATCATGATTTGCTGTTTTGGGAAACACGCCAGATAGGTGACAAATTGAAAGTAAAGGAGTTGAAGGCAGCAGAGTGCCGTAACATCAAGTGGAAGGACTGGAGTAGTGTCATCGGTTGGCATGTTCATGCCCTCTCAAAACTTGTGCAGTCAGAAGACAAACTTGTTGCAGTTCATACTCAAACAGGAAGTCGACATCTTGCAAGCATCGATGCTGACGGCAATATCAGGTTGATGCCCTTCCCAGCGGTGGACCCGTCAAGGGTGTATGTTGAACGGAAGATGCTGCCTCAGACCCTGCAAAGCGTTTCTCTTAGTCCTTCACTGGCATACTTATATGTGGGTTCCAGAATAGAAGGATGCTTGTCAAGATTGAGAATACAAAAGGAGTCCAAAGATAATTTTGCAGATACTGTTGATACGAAAAGAAACAAATGTATTCAATTCCTCTTGGACAAAGCATGCAGATGGAATGAGAAGGTATTGAATAACAAAGTCAGCGTGTCCGACAATGCCCAAGTATTGGATCAAGGTTCGAATTCTGCTCTCATGCTCTCGTTGTCGCCTGAAGACTTGTCGAAATTCAGGAGCGATGCCCCTGATTCACAACTAGAAATGAATTTTGTAATTGGATATAGAGGGTATGATTCACTTCATAGTTTGCACTTTCTCAACTCCGGAGAATTGTTTTATTTTACGGCCAAACTGGGGATTTGCATGTCTTGCGATGGAAGACGGACACAACGAGTATTATCTCATGAAGGAAATATTTGCTTGACTGCTGTACACCCTGATGGGAAAACGGTATTGACGGTGACCAACTCACAAAAGATTTGTTTAAATATTTGGAACACAGCTCAGTGTAGGGTGGTTGCTACAATAAATGATCTCCCGTTAGGAAATCCTTCGGCAGCTTGTTTTTCCTCTCAAGACGATTTGTTAGCGATTGCAACTAGTTTTCATGGCGAGTTCTCCATTTTTTTCATTGATTGGAAGAGAGGGATCTTGCTTGCCGAAAGTGAGAAAAGAACTCCGAATCCAATACTTGTCTTGCAGCACAATCAATTTTCCGGCGAATTTGTTTCTGGTGGTCAAGGGCACGTCTGCACTTGGAAGCTAGACGGGCGAAATATGACTGTGGCATCTGCTGCTTTGGATGTGGATGAGATCCTTCTTTGCATCGGATTTTATGGCTCCATGGAGGGAGAGCTGATGATTGCAGGAAATGACAAGGGTCATCTCCGTGTTTGGTTGATCAAGGCTGGAAGAACCTTCACGCTTCCTCCTACTTCTATACCTGCACACAAAGCTCCTGTCGTTGGTGTAAAAACAGATGATGAACATGTATATTCCTGTGACCTCTACGGCGAATTCGCTATTTGGCAGCCGAAGGGGAAGTACTATTTGGAACTTGTTAGCAAAATTGAACTTGGTTTATCATTGATGTATAACCAGCCCTGCAAAGTTTGTTCAAATCTTTGTTGCATTCGCGGATTTTGTGTTGGCAATGTAGATGGAGTTAAATCATGCGTGGTTGGATTGGGCAGCAATGAAATTTTTTCGATCGAATTGCCCAAACTGAGTGAGTCTGACGAGAGCAAAGCTCAACTTTTGATGTCCTCCAGCAATGATTCGCTGTTCGATGTTCATCCAGACACCTCGTCAATTGCGTTTCTTGGTGCTAATGGTACCATACAAGTGTGGGATAGAGAACGGAGGGTGAGATCATTCGTTACCAAATTTGATCAAGTCCCGGCTGCTCTCAACTTCTCTCCAGACGGAGCACTTTTGGCTGTTGGCCTTGACCATGGAGCTTTGAAGTTCCTAGAAACAGATGCGTTCGATCGGTCATGGGCCGCTTCAGAGGTGGTGAAGAAGTCGATCAGCGTGGTGAAATTCTCTCCCGATGGTTTGAGGATCGCTGTAGGGTACCACGATGGAAAAGTGTTCATTTATTCGGTGCCTAGATTTAGCAAGGACAAGGCTGAGGCATACATTGAACTAAAAGTAGAAGGCAAATGCGAAGGACTGGCTGCTTCCATCCAAAACATCGATTGGTCGTTAGATGGAAGGTATTTGCAGGGTCAGACTACTTTTTTTGATATAATCATTTGGGACTTGACACAAAGGGAACAACTGTGTTACTCTCAATTGAGAGATCTACAACATGTTACTGATATTTCTTGGTCCACTACGAATTGCATCTTGTCTTGGTATTCCAAAGGTCTTTTCCTGGCTGAAATGCAAGAAAGCAAAATTTCTTCTCTGTGCTCGTGCAAATCTTCTGGCCTAGCTGTTGGATATCATTCTGGGGAGCTTCGCACGTATCGGTTCCCTTGTTTGGAAGCGGACGCAAAATACAGTACATTCAATGCACATGGCAGTTGTGATATCAGCGTTGTGTTCAGCAAGGACGATAGATTTTTGTTCTCTTCCGGCAAGTCCGATAATACTCTATGCATTTGGCAGCACTTGAACACTTTGAGTTCTGACTCGCAAGGGAGACTTGTGCATCAAGCTTTGAGAAGAAGGATCTTTTTTCGGGAACCTAAGCAAGTCTCACCTGCATCCCGTGACAATGAAATTCAAGCGGTCCCTCCCTTTATTAGCTCCATTTATGCGCCCACGAAGTGGACAGCCGATGAATCGAGAAAGACTCAAGCATCGGTATCTGCTGATTTTGCATTTGAATTAGAATACGTGTATGGAATGAGACACCAGAAGCTGATTAAACTCAACGACGACGAATTGATTTACATGATTGCATCTGTCATTGTGCTCATGAATTTAAGAACTGGATTGCAGAGGTTTTTTCGTGGACATAAATCTACAGTCACTGCGATCGCATTGCATCCATTTGAGGATATGGTGGCGAGTGCAGACACCACAAAAGGGAACCATGTTCTTGTGTGGAATTCGATTTCATTGGAAGTTGTTGCAAAGATCGAAACCTCTGTGGAATCCATGCCAGTCGCCATGTCTTTCTCAGTGGATGGTTCAAATCTTTTGGCCTGTTTTCAAGGCTCCGAAGACTGCATGATATCGTTCCTGTGGAAGTCTAATCTTCGTGAGTCCCTGGTGAGAACGAAATGTAGTGAGATCCTATCACTGGCCAGCCATCCGAATGGAGAAATGTTTGTGACATGTGGGGTCAACCATCTGAAATTTTGGAAGAAGCGGCGATCTCAACTCACTAAGCAAAATGCTGATTTCGGCACCTCAAATAAGGTGGGGATGCTCTGCGTGTGTTTCACGCGTGTTGACGACATATTCTTCACGATTACTGGGGCTCAAAACGGCTATTTCTACATCTGGAAGGATCACACTCTTGAGCGTGCTGTTCTTGCCCATGTTGGTCCAATCCTTGACGTCAGTGTGGCTGACCGAAGCATGGTCACTTGTGGAGCTGATGGACAGATCAGAGTATGGGAGGCAGATTTGAAGACAAGTTCCCGTCTCAATTTCAGGGAGCTGGTCCAAGAGTTAGATTGTTTGAGTTCGATGCAACAGTGTCAGATCATCAGCACATTTCCCCAATGGGTAGGCTCGGGAGAGGACCAGCATCTTGATATTCTTGTTCTGACTAGCAATAACGAGCTTGTCTATTTCAAGTTTGATGGCGTTTCAGGTGTCATCAGCTCCTTGCGTGAGTCAGGTATTCTGATGCAATTTCATGCGAACGAAGTGCCTTGTTCAGTTTCAACGCATCCGAGCAAGCAGAAGGTTATCAGCGTGTCCGATGACAATACTTTACGCGAATGGAGCATCGAACAGAAGTCTCAAACTCTCTTCCTTCGACTTCAGAAACCCTGCACGACTGTCGCATATTCTTCGAATGGAGATGTGTACGTAGGTTATCGAGATGGTTCAATATGCAGGATTGATTGGGAGTCGTCATCCAGCGAAACCACTGTCAGCAAATGCTCCGCGTCACCTATAGAGCTGATGAAGTTTTCGCATTCAGGAAAGTACATGGCATGTGCGTCGAGTGATGGCGTTTTGCATGTTCTTGATACCACGGGTGGATATGAAAGAATATCTTCGTGCAAATTAGGAAGCCGTGTCGAGAGCTTCGATTTCTCTCAAGATGAAAGCATGATTCAATGCAATTCCTCTGACCAGGATCTTTCATTCTGGTCGACTATGACTGGAAGGCGAGTAACTCGTGCGAAGGAAATCAGAGATCAGCAGTGGTCGACATGGTCATGTAAGTATGGCTGGCCTGTCCATTCTTTGCATACCCATCTGAACAAGATTGAGTGCATGAAAAAGGCAAAAGCCTCTGTCCTAGCTGTTGGTTTAAGAGACGGTTCGTGGTTTGTAACAGCCTATCCTTGTCATCAAGTCTCCATACCCAAGGATACGTGCTACCACGGTCATGGGTCTGCAATTTCTGCCATTCACTTTACACACCAAGACTCTGCATTCCTGTCCATAGAATCATCAGAGCAATGCATGCTTCAGTGGAAACGATTGAGAAGCGAGTCCGATCTGAGCGAGCCATCTGACAAGCCTGACATTGGGATAGCTAGGAACGATCAGTTTTACCTCTACGTCGATCAGGATAAATGGAATGAGGAGGATCAGAGAAACCTCTCTTCTGTTGCCAAAAAAGTCTGTAAATTCGAATCGGAGGAAGATGATGTCAAAATTCATGATGTGATCGAAGGAAGCATCATCTTGCATGTTTCCAGCAAACGGCCTGAGAGTGCCATATCTTCCATCATTTCTGATCTTCGAAGTGCTCGAGGAAGGTTGTGGAAATCATGTCATGTCAGGCACGTCATAGTGGAGAAGGAAACAGTGGACTTGATCAGGAAAAAGACTTACAACGCAGATCATTTACTTCCAATGGCTCCAGAAAGTTCCATCGTCTCTTCAGATCTCCACGTTAGTGCAGATCTGACCAAACCTTACTTGTCGTCACTTTTCAATCCATCAAACTTAGAACACCATAGCAAGAAATCTCTTCCAAAGCCAACTGTCGACCTTGATTTGGAACATGTTTTTGGCTATGCTGGAGAAAATTCGTTCTCCAGATTGATTCTCGTTGAAAGTGGAGAAATTGTTTTCAGTGCTGCTACTCTGATAATAATTTATAACATTGAGCGAAACAAACAGAGTTATTTTCGACGGCACCAAGGGATGATTGTGGATATTTCGCTCCATCCTAACAAAGATTGGATTGCCTCTGTGGATGGCCTACCAAAGGCTACTATCTTCATCTGGAGTTCATCTTCCCTGGAGGTCAAAGCTTGCATTCAGCTTACAAATCATTTTCCGATTGTATGCATATCTTTCTCAGGAGATGGGGAGAATGTAATGGTTGTCGCAAAAGATAACGAATATAGATTGAGTGTCATTGACTGGAAAAAGAATACTCCAATCGACAAAACAATAATCGAGAACAAGAAAATCCTTTCAATGACAAGTTTCATCGCTGAATTCTCCGATGATAACAAGTTTGTGACTTGCGGTTTAGACCATATCCAATTCTGGAGTTTGGTACGAGGAAAGATACGCTTACATCCATGCTATGGGGACAAGACGCTGATACAGAGCAAGCATTTTATTAAGGCTGTATTCGCGAGCCAGCATTGTGTAGTTGCAGGAACAGATTGCGGTGGCCTCTTCATATTCCGATTTGCATCTGTCGGAGCCACCGTGGCGAGAGTGATCGTGAAGGCGCATGATGGCCCGATCTTTGACCTGTGGAGCAACGAGTATGTTTGCCTCACTGCCGGCAAGGATGGGACACTTCGGACTTGGAATGTTGTGACGAGGGTAGGGAAGGATTACGATTTGCAATACCTCAAGGAGTACCTCACGCATGACTCCTCCCACAAAGTTCCCCTGCCATCCACAAGATCCGTCACCTTCCTCCAATCGACTGATCAGATCGTAGTGGGAACTTCGGACAACAGGCTGACAGTGATTGAACAAGACTCGCACAAGGTGAAGTGGCTCAATCAAGGTCATTCTGCCGGGGCTCTGCTCGCCCTAGCTACTCATCCTTTAGATCCAGCTGTGTTCTTGACCGCTGGCTCTGACTGTCGAATCCATCTGTGGGATGCTGAAGTCAGGTCAAAAAAGCAAAGTTGGAGATGCAGGACTGCTGTGTTTTCAGTTGACTTCATGTCTTCTGGCGATTCCTTTGCCGCTGGCCTTTCTGACGGCAGCGTGATTCTTTATTTTGACTATGAAGAACCGAACCTTGCGACTGTTGAAGTCACTTCTGCGTTTGGTCCAGTCAGGACATTGAAGTTTTCACCGAACAAGAAGATGCTGGCTGTTGGACATGAGCAAGGCGTCATCAATGTTTATGAGTTGTACGGCAGAAACTGTGAACACTTCTACAGTTTCAAGGGGCACACATCTTCAATCACGGAGATTGATTGGGATCTTTCCAGTCGCTATCTGCGGAGCACGAGCATTTCTCTCGAACTATTTTTCTGGGAGGTTGGCTCGAAATCAAGAGTTGGCAAAGTCATTGATATCAAAGATATCAACTGGATTACATACAATTGTACAATAGGCTGGTATAGCGCTGGTTTGATCAGCTCAACCTCTGATGAAAGAGACATTCTGTCTTCAGATAGATCCGAAGATTTGTCCTTGCTAGCCGTTTCCCGAAATGATGGAAGGATACAACTTCTTCCTTTTCCATGTCACTTGCCAGATCATGATTCAGTCAGCATCTTTGCACATCTTCCAGCTGCTGCAAAAGTGAAATTTACTTGTGATTCCCGAAGGCTGATTTCTATTGGAGGTAATGATGACGCTGTCATGGTGTGGAGAATAAGAAGTACCTATATTGATCAGGCCATGAAACAAGTCTTTGATGTCCCTGATAGCTTCGTGAAAGCGCATATGAGAAATCACATGTCAACGGATTACACTGCTCATGACAAAGAATTTATTGAGATTGATTTCCAGCTTGAAAGCAAGACAGATGATCTGCAAACTTTTTTGCAACTACACCACGTGTATGGTAGTTCCAATTTGTACAATCAAAAGTCCTTTCACCGAGCGAAAGACAAGGTTCTTTTTGCCTCAGCCTCAATCTGTGTCGTCCATGATCTCCATACCGATGAGCAAGAATTTTTCCTCCGACATCAGAACTTCATCTCTGCCCTTGCTGTTCACCCTGATGGGAGGCTGGTAGCTTCAGGCGAATTTTCCTTGACTCCATCCATCATTTTCTGGGATCTAGAGCAGTTGGAGACAATTGCAATCTTGGATGCGAATACGATGAATTTGAAGCATGATTCCTTGCAGGTAGTGCGACTGCTTTCCTTCTCACCGACCGGGGCCCAACTAGCGGTCTTGTGTGGCTTCGATCGGAGGCGAATCTTGATCATTGATTGGGCCATGAAGAAATTGACTCACAGCCTTTCCTTCGAGACCACTGTCACCGAGTGCGCATTCTCTCCCTTGCAGTCCTTCTTAGTGACATGCTGTCAAGAAAATGTCAAGTTCTGGACTTTCAAGAAGGAGGCTCCCCTGCTCCGAAATGCTAGTTTTGGTAAGAATTTCGTGAACCAGCAGATGACTTCGATCGCATTTGTTGCCAAACCCGGCCTCCGGATGAGTGATTCGGTTCAAGTGACGATCACAGGCAGCATCGATGGTAGCGTGTACCTGTTTGGTATGATGGTTGACGGGCGCTGGAAGTTCAATGTTGTATCTTACGTCGTAAAGGCACACGATGGGCCCGTGATGGACGTGGACTATCTTGGAACTCCATTCGGATTTGCAAGCTGTGGAAAGGACGGAATGATCCGTCATTTTATGCTGAAATATGATCTCAATCCATCGGACAAGAATGTGGAAGTATTGACAGTAGATGATATGGAGTCACTACAAGTGAAAGACATCTTGCATGACCAATCCGGACAGGAATTATACATCAAGGAGTTGGCAACCTCCGATGACTTGCAGCTGTTCAAGACGTCTCGAGATCAGATTATTAGGTATGATTTAAGGAGCAAGGCATTCAAGCAGATTGCTTCTAGTGCTAGAGGAGCTGTTTCGTCGATGTGCTGCCATCCGGACTTACCGATCCTAGTAACGGTAGATCGCGGTGGTAGCATCATGGTGTGGGAAAGTAACTCTCACATCCTGCTATTCTCTCATGAAGTTGGCTCTCCTTTACGATGTGTTGATTTCTCGCCGGATGGAGGCCAAATTGCGGTCGCCAACGATCAGGGAGATGTGATGATATTCGATTTGGTTGAGTATGATTGCTCTACTCTATCACAACAGTTTCAATCTTCTAATCGAAATCCGAATTCTCCTGCAAGCGCTACCGTTCTAAGGTTTTCCCGAGTGACAAGGGAAAATCCTTACCTCGCCGTGGGCTACGACAATGGAGACATAGAAGTCTACGTCAAAGATCAAACGCAATACAGGTTTCTTGAGAGAACGAGTAAAGATTTCGACTATTCTCACAAGTCAGAAATCAAGGCATTGGATTGGTCGTTTGAGCCGCTATTCCTTCGCAGCATGTGTCTGAGTGACAAAGTGAACATTTGGGGCCCGCTTCCCTCGTTGAACAGGCATGAGACTGGCAAAGAGAGCGATAGAATTCAATGGTTCGACAACTCGTGCGTCAGCAGTTACAAACATGAGCTTCTCGACTCGCTCAAAAGTACTGTCCGTTCGACAGATCGAAAGACACACTTCACGCTGAATGCGGACGGAGAGATATTTTTGCACAACAATCCAGAGAAGGAAGAAGAATTCCTTCTCAAATGCTACACGTGCTCTGCTTTGTCCACCAAACAGATAGAACTCTCACCAGACAATGAATTTTTCTTCACTTTCAGTGACGAAGATTGCTGCATTCTTGCGTGGCGATGCCTGCAAAAGAAGGAGCTCATACATGCGCATTTGGGAGCTGTGATGTCCAACATGTACAATGCTGCTACAGACGAAGTCTCTTACCTTACACCTCTTGATTCTAACAAACGACAAGTCCAGACACGTGGGAAACCGTCGGAAAAATTGGTCCGCAAGCCGAGAGTTGAAATGACCTTAGAGCATGTCTACGGCTGTAACTCGTCCATGGTTCTGAATGGAGCTAAGTTTGTTTACAATCGAAGGGGTCTAAAATCAGATCCGACAAGAGAGAATGTTTCTGCTCTTTATTTTTCATCAGGAGTCTCGATTCTTCAAAGCCTAGGTACGCCGGGGACCTCACCGGTTGACCTCGGCCTGAAGAACATTCTTTGTCAGGCAACGTCCCACGATGGCCTACTAATTGCAACTGCAGAATTAGCTTCCTCCCCTCAAATTGTAGTCTGGAGGCTGACAGACCGTCAAGTGTTGAAAAGGTTTCAAGGGTTTACCAAAGGCGGAATCGCTATTCTGTGCTTCGCTGAACAGAGTGAAATGTTGTTTTCAATCTGCTGTGATGATTTCAATACCGTGGCGTTGTTTGATCTGAATTCAGAAGACTCTGGCGGTCCTCCCGTATCGGCACATCCTGGTGGGTACAACAGGATAATCGCAGCTTGCTCGACATCTCTGAGAGGATTGCAATCTTTCATCACTGTTGGCATCAATCACGTCCGTTGCTGGAGGCTGATATCTGACGATAGCAACAAGCGTTCCTTGACCTATCGAAAGTTTTCAACGGGAGCCGAGAGATCGATAGTGTTCTGCAGCGTCTGCTCTTTTGATCAGCTAATCTTCTGTGGAACAAATCAAGGAAGCATCTACTTGTTCAAAGACTTTCAGACGCTAAAAGTCTTCAAACAAGTGCATACAATCAGCAATGAGCTTTCCTGTCCCGTATTCGTTTTGTATGTTTTGTCTCAGACAGAAGATGGAATATCTTTAATTTCGGGAGGAGGTGACAGCCTCGTCAAATTCTGGATGTTGAAAGGGATGGAACTAGAAGCTGAGGAGAAGGTCATGGACATGTTTGAACTTTCACAAAAGGCCAAGAATCTTAATTCGAGAACAACAAGCTTCTGCAAATACTTGCAGAAACACATCAATCTGGCGGTTACAACATTTGATCGGGTGTTTGTGAAAGAATCGGGAGAAGTTAAACCATATTACCTGGTGGGCACGAACTGCAATGAACTATTTCTTATTGACCATCTGCTCAAGAATAGCCTCCTCTTAGCTCAAGCTCATTCCTCGCGGATATCGTGCTTGTCCAGCCATATATCAAGAAACATTTCAGCGAGTGTATCTTCCGACCTCACCATGAGGATTTGGGATAATTCATCGAGAGTGATGTCTTCTCTCTTCAGCTTCGATCGAAAACCATTTTCTGTGGCTTGGAGCCCAAAGACAACGTCAGAGGATGAAATAGTGGTTGGAGCTGAGAACGGGGCTTTCTTCTGTTTCACCTTCCAAGCAAAGCATGGGACGTTGAAAAACACACTCGTCAGGTCTATGGATGAGACTCAGGCAAGGAAAGACTTTGTGCTTGCCAAGTTCAGTCCTGACGCAAAATTCCTGGCGCTTGCATCATCGTGTGGAAACATCGACGTCTTCGATGTTTCTCGAGGCTACGTGCACTTGGGCGTGTGCGATGGCAATGGGATGAGACCTCAAGTCGTTCAGTCAATCGATTGGTCTAAGGACAGTGACACCCTCGTAGCCTGTCTGTCAGAAGTCGGCCTTCTGTTCTGGAAGATCCACGCTGAAGTCTCCAACAACATGTTTGAGATGCTCCGCAGGTTTGACTTTTCCAACAAGGGGTGGACTACTTGGAGCAACCTTGCTGGGTGGTTTGTTGAGGGTTTGCTCGTGGAAAATGGGGGCGGAATCATAAAGATTGATTGCCAGCAGAAAGTGGATCTTGACGAAGACAAATTAACCCTCGGGAAGCCAGGCTCACATGACGTGGCCTTGGCGGCGTACAGAGACTCGGTCATGAGATTGTTCCGATTTCCAGCCATCAAAGGCGCTAAGTCGACAATGATAGCGCATCCGAGCCAGTCAATCTCGCAGTTGACCTTTGGGAATGAGGGCAAAAGTTGCCTGACTACGAGCCGGTTGACAATCTTTGAGTGGAGACTGGTCGATGAGCGTTCAGACGCAAAGCTTCAAGGTCAGGAGCCCAAGGGCAAGACCAAAGAGGTGGAGGAGAAGCTCCGTGAAGCCTTCTGGCAGCTGACTGAGACTGACTTGGATGATCTTAGACGCCGCGGTATCTCCTCGGAACAGCTGAGGCTCGTGCCTGCAGACCATCTGAACAACCCTCGAGCTAAGGTGCTTCTCTTCACCTTCGATGCAGTAGCGTTGCATGTGTTGGGATGGGATGGAAGGACTTCTTTCAAGGATCCAGTCCTTATCAATCTTGCAAGCAACCCCACATGGCACGAGATGCTGGAGACCCTCGCACCATATGACAAAGCATCCGGCGAGAAATCAAACATCAAGCACCCTTTAACTTTCATGTACGAGAAGTTTGAGATCAATCACGGTGATTCGATCTTTGAGATATCCGAGCCTAGGTTGAAACACATCCACCAAGAAGCCCACTCTTTTGAGATCTCCCGTATAAAGAATGAGAGTCGAAGGATGTACGTGGTACGCAACGAGTTTGACTTCAGACAGTGTTGGCTATGGATGGAGCAAGAATATCGGTGGTTGCTCAGTGTTGGAGGGGTAGTACCTGAACATCAGTGCTTCGAAATCTCCATCTACCTCACCAAGAATAGAGCAGCCTCGACTGAAGATGAAGACTCTGGTTATGACAGTGACCTGGAGACCATAATCAATGAGTATCGTCTCGTCCGAAACTCACAAGAAAATGAGCAGAAAACCAACAACACTGAAGTGATGCCCAGCTCGATCACCCAAGGAGAGGTCCCTCCTCCAACTGGATGGGATGAAATTCCAGAAGTTGAAAAGGAAAGCCTGAGGAAACCACCCAAGGTCGATCTTGTGCTGGACCATATCATGGGATACTCATGTGGCACGTGCAAGGATAACGCTGCATTCTTGAGGAACGACGAGGTTGTCTACAGTGTTGGCTGCTGTGCCGTTATCTATGACAGGCTGAAGAACTCGCAGAGGCATTTCCTGCAGCACACGCAGAAGATTCTGAGTCTCGCTGTAGATCTCTCCTCCACTCTGATAGCAACCGGCGGGATGGGTCGATCTGCAGAGTTTCTGGTCTGGAACCCGTTCTCGATGCTTGTCATGGCTAATTTCGGAGGAGTGCATCAGGACTATGTCTCTGCCCTGTCATTCTCCACCAACAAGCCTTGGATCGTTTCTGCCGGTGGCTCCAGCAACCAAGACGCTATCCTCGTGCATGATTACAGGTCTAAAGCCTTGTTGTTTCAAACTTTCCCGCCAAAACCCAGCATCCAACTGGCTGTTGGATTCAATCCTAACATTACTCCCAAGTCTGTCCTATTCGTTACGGCGGGGATCAGGCAGACAGTCTTTTGGAAGTTTGAGAACGAGAAGCTGATTGCAATACCGGGCAAGTCCGGATCTCGCGCGTCTGTCAAGACCATGCTGTGCATTTGTTTCCCAAGAGATGGAGAGAAGGAGCTCGTCCTGACCGGGGGAAAAGACGGGAAGGTATACCTGTGGAAGAACATGTCGATCATCTATGAGATTATAGCTTGCAAAGGCCCCGTGTTCTCATTGCGAACCCATGGAGATCTGGTGTTTGGTGGAGGCAAGGACAGCATTTCTCCCTTGAGATGCTGGAAGCTTTCCCCTTCATGGCCCGTTGATCTGAGAATCGACTCCGTCAGCGAATCAGACCCTTTTCTGAACCCTTACCGCAGCTCTGACAGGCAGGCGGACAAACGGTCTGTATGCGTCAAGTCCTTGTCTTTCAACGGTTCAGACCTGCTTGTTGGGACTTCTTACAACGATCTGTTCATCATGAACACTGATTCTAGAATCTCAAGGGCCCTGGCGGTGGGAGGTTCCAACTCCACGTCGACAGCCGTTGCTGTTCACCCTTCGAAGCCCTTGTTCGCGTTTTCTTTCGAAGACGGAACAATCCTGATCAACAATACAAACGAAAAGATGAACATCTCCCGCTTCAGCATGAAAGAAGCCATCACTGCCATAGCGTTTGCTCCTTCGAGGTCATTCAAGTCTCTGGCCATGTCAAAAAGATCGTCTGACCGGATCGCGATCGGTTGTCGGACTGGGGAGTTTCAAATCCGCGAGGCTGCTACCTTTGATCTTGTTGACGGGCTCGCTCCTTCCTATGGCATAGCGAGATGTCGCATGCACTCTGTCCTGCGCAAGAACACTGAGATCACTGTCCTGGCCTACTCCCCTTGCGGCAGATTTCTAGCAGTCGGAGCCGGCGACGGCATCTTGGACTTCTACGATGTGAACAACGGGTACGAGCATGTGCAGTCGTGCGAGGAGCATGGAGGAGCGATCAGTGCCATCGACTGGTCGGAGAGCGAAGAGTTTCCTCTCTATGCTCAGAGCTCGTCTGCTGCTGCTCGAGCCCTCCGACGGTGGGAGGTGACACAGGCCGGAGACGCTCACGTAGTACGAGAGATTGAGCCTGCCTCCGTGCGGGACGAGCCGTGGAGGACTTGGACTCAGTCGCTGGGATGGCACGTGAAGGGTCTGCTGCCATCGGCTCTGGGCTGGGCTAACTCGCCGTTGACATGCTCTACCCGATCTTTCGATCGTAGAATGATCGCGTCGGGGAACAAGGAAGGGAACATCCTGCTGTTTCACTTCCCTTGCGTCCACGAGGACGCGATGCCGCTGCAGGCGTCTCAAGTCCATCGCAGTCAAGTGCAGGGGCTTTCCTTCGCTCCCGATGGGAGGAAGCTCGTCTCTCTCGCCACATCTGATGCTTTCGTGGCCCTGTGGGAGACGAGAGTGCTGGTGGTGCCGGCAGAGGCGGAGGGCGTACCGTCACATCAGGACGAGCTCCTGCGCAACTCGTGCACTTTTGCCTCGTTCTCGAGAGGATTTGAGCTGTTTGCGGCTGTGGTAGCAGATGTGAAGGTCTCAGTATGGCAGCAAACGTCAGACGGGGCGCTAGAGAGGAAGGACACATTCGAGGTGCGAGGGGACAGCATCAACTCCTGCGAGATCTCCTCCAACAAAGTTCTCTGCACGACCTCCAGGGAGCACAAGGTGAGGCTTTACGACCTGAAAGCGGAGAGTCCGATGGAAGTTGAGTGTATTGAGGCTCATGACGACCAAGTCTACAACTGCTGCTTCTCGCCTGACGGCGCAGTGCTGGCCACCTGTGGAGCAGACAAGCTGGTGAACTTGTGGAGGCTCACTGACAGCCTGGCAGTCAGCAAGGTAGGATTTGCCGCTGGTCATCGGAAATCAGTCTTGTCTGTAGCGATCTCAGATGATTCGAACCTCCTCTGCACCGCATCAGAAGACAAGACCCTCCGTGTGTGGGACCTGACGGGAATCCGTCAAGCAGATCTGTCAGATCCTCTGGCACTTCCAACCACTTGCAGGCTACGGGGGCACGAGGACGCCGTTGTCTGCTGCGCGTTTTCACCAGCCACGCAGAGGAGTGAAGGCGGCGTCAAGGTCTGCTCGGGGAGCTGGGACGGCTCCTTGATCATGTGGGACGTGCAGTCGGCGGTCATGCTGCTGAAACTGAGGCATTCAGAGGCGCTGCTGGGCTGCTCCTTCTCCTGCTGCGGCAACTTCATCAGCTCCATCTGTCTCGACAACAGCCTGAGGCTCTGGAACGTCAGTGACGTCGAACAGGTTCAATGCGTGCAGGAGGCCAAGGGATCCACCAAGGATTCCAAACTTATCATCGGAAGCGCCTTCGCCGCAGGAAGGCTGGTGTATGCGTTAGCCTCCAACAAGTCCAACATCGGGAAGCCGGTCGTGTGGACGTTTTGATCCGTTTGCTTCCTTATCGTGTCCCGAGAGTCAATTCTCTGCATATTCGTCGAGGATCTCTTCATGAAATTCCCTGATCTTCTCTCTTTGTACATCCTGTTGAACAAGTATTTAGATGTTGGATAGAGGTACTTTGATAAACAAATTCATACCGTCTCTCTCACATCCTCTTGGTGCGCCCCGTCCTCCACCGGCGTGAAGTCTCCCCGGATCTCAACACCGCACACTGGACATTGATCGAAATCGGAGGAAATGCACTCAAGGCAGAACTGATGACCGCATCCTGTCATCACTGGCTCTACGAAGTCTTTCTTACAGACTGGACACTCGTCGAAGAGCTCGTCATCGATTTTCTCCCTCTCTCTCCTCCTCTTCTCGTCTCTGTTTCTCGCCTTCTCCACCTCATGCTCAAAGAACCTCGACCTGTCATGCGCAAAGATGCAAGTGTTGCCCCGAGCGCAACTGCCAGTCGTTGCGAATGACTTGCAGACGTAAGGGCGGACATCGACGAACTTGTCGTTGAAAGTAGTAGGAGCCAACAACTTCTTCCGTACCTCTCCTCTCGGGCTGCCTGAAGACCTGCGATCGCTGGAGCGGGCAGAAGAATCGCTCTCACTCTGAGAGCCATGGCTGCTCCTCGAACCCCTATTTGGAGCGGGTGCTTCATTAGTCTGTTGGACGAGATCAGTGTTCTCCTTCTCATCTCCTGTTGCCCCTCCTTCTCGTTTAGTCTGTTGGACGAGATCAGTGTTTTCCTTCTCATCTCCTGTTGCCCCTCCTTCTCGTTTGCTCTCTCGTCTGCTATCGTCTCCTGTTCCCCCTCCTTCTCGCCTCCCATCCTTCGCGTCACTCTCCGCACGTCTACTCCTCGTCGTCCCGAGCCTTTCGCGTGCCTCGCGCAAGAAGTTCTCCATGGTTTCTTCCTCATGGAATCGATGACGCAGCTCAGATTCTGTAGTCTCTGCTTCCTCTCCTTCAGAACCTGTTGATGATGATGGAGGGGACGGGGTGGAGATGCTGCCGACATCCCAAGGGATTTGCAGTTCCTCAGTCGCTTCCTTTGAAGCAGCATCTTTCTTCATCCTCTTCTTGTCAACCCCCTGATCCATGTGAGAGGATTCAAGAGACGCCGTTCTTTTCCTAGCGGTCTCATCACATCTCCCTGCCGAGCTCTTCATTGACGCGAGGCCGATACCTCTTCCTCGGTCAAGCTGAACTTTAGGTTGCCTTGTGGAGTCGTCGGAAAATGCATGCGCTGTCATGAGAGCCATGGTAAATGGAGCGATGGCCCAGAGACGAGAGCATGGTCGTCTGATCATTAAATATCTTCCCAACTATCTTCTCAACCATCTTCTGCCTCCTCGCCTCCCCTCGATCTTTCTTTTTCCTTTTCGCCAATTGCCTGCAGCATTGCCTCAGTCTGGGCGCAACGGGCCGTTGCGACGTTGCGTCCGCTTTCGTAACGGAAAATCTCTTGATTTTAAATGTCATTTTTAAAATGTCTCCTGCAACTGCACCACCCACCCTACCGACTCCCTCAGATATTCAGAACCTCTACCCCCCCGACAGCAGGAACCTGCTTGGGTACTTGTCGTGGTCATGTTTCTGTCGTACCCGACCCCCCCATCGTAGCCAATAAACCAGTTTTACAGCGAACGATAGAAGTATTTAGGGTAGGGGTGCATTTTTCGGGGTGGATGAATTTTTGACTGGGTAGGGGTACTTTTGTACCTTTCCATTGAACTGAATACTCAGTGTCCAAAGGGGTACATATGATAAAAAGTAGGGTACTTCCAAATATTCTTATGTGAATACAGGGTGGGTATATTGCAAATTGGGGATGATGAGGGTGGGGTAATGGAATACCAAAAGGGGTGGGGTGCAATTGGGATTTGGGCGCAATGGCAGGAAATGGAAGGGAAACGTGGAGGAGGAAACAGTGAACGGCTGAATTGAGGAGACACGAATCAGATAGTTGAGAACAGACTGATGTTGGCAAGATATCAGCACTTGACAGGATGTTTTATTCGCCTTTTCCAGGATCAGCTGTTGGTTTCAGAATTTGAATTAACACGCTGATTCTTCGTGAGATGGTGTTAGAGCGCAGGAAGACAGAGGGAGGGAGTGCGCAATGGCCTGATAGAAATAGGTAGCACTACGCAGAGATATAGACAGGCACGTGATCACAGAGCCGGGTAGCATGGCAAGGAGAGAAATCTGTAACGTGGTGGTGGTGAATCAGTGGACAGAAAAGCAGAATGGAGCGGAGACATCTGTTGAGTGTTTTGCAGGATATGAAGGAGCTATTTCTCTGATGTGATAAGGATGTAGATATTGTAGAGTAGTAGGCAAATGAGAAGGAGGGTAACAACCTAATTGCATCCCGGACTGCCCGACGCAGGGAGGAGTTATTTCGGGAAAGTGAGTGTGATTTTAGAAGATCCAATCGACTTGGCCAAATGCGGAGAAACTTTGCATTATTACTGCGAGTAGCACTTTGCCTTCTCCAATTAGCATGGTCGTCGGCGTTCATCGGATCCTTTGCGACATTTGGAAAGAGGTAAGTGGTTGTGCATTGCTGCAGGCCATCCAAACTCCACGTTGAAACATATTTCAGAGGTCTTCCCGCGAGATTACGTGTTGATGCATCCAGAAGACCCACAAGTGCTGCGTTCCTAAGGTTCATCGCAATTCTCTGCTCGCTTGATAACTCCCTGCTGTAGGATGTTGTCTGGTCATCTTGACGATCCTGCGATTCGATCGCTGAATGATTTACTGTGCCAGCGAGCAGTCCAGGTCTGCTACGAGCATCCGGTCTGATATTGGTAACCTTCTTCTACAAGACTCAGATATACTACTTCCAAGAATTCAAGGACGATTTCAAACGCCAGTGGCTTGAGGGTACATTGTTTGCATTCAACCCGACCCCACGTGAAACCTGCAATTGAAGGTTTCGGAGGACACAAAGGACTTTCGAGTTTCCATTCCTTTGGAGGGTTGCATGTGCGTACTGTGTGGAGCAGTTGTAAAGTGAACTTGACATACGCCTTGAATCAAACAGATGAAGGCTGAAGTGTATCTTGAAAAAATGCTGCACAGGTGAATGCAGATTTCTGGCAAGATGCGATGATACTGATCGATAATTGATCAAACACAGTCCCCCTGAAGAGATTGAAGTGCAAATGAGATGGGGAAATCGTTACGGGGGAGGCTCGAAAGACAATCCATACCTGAAAGACACACCGCGCTTCAATACGTACACAGAAACTATCCATCCACAAAAGGTGTGTGCGGTTGACTTCTTTGTGATGCCATTGACATTGACTCTGTCGTTGATGTCTGTATTGCAAATCAGATTTGCAAGGGGCTGATGGAGATAAGAGAGCAATTGCTTTCGGAATGGGTGAATGACCTAGCTATCGTCCAGCATGAGGATCATTTGTTCTGGTAAGACATGAGATAACTAGACGATGATCGGTCCAATCTCTCTCATGCATGTTGCTGTCAGGATCCAGGTTCACGAGGAAGAGGAACTTCAGAGGGCAGAGAATATCACAAGCAGAAAGAAGACATCTGAGACGGGACATGAAGATGGGGACATGACTGATCTTGTGCTGATTGGTAGGGAGCGAACTTCAAATGCCTTCAAGAGACTGAAAGACGTTTTGACTCCAGGGACCAGGGGAGATTATGAGTCTTCTCCGTTGCGAGGCCGAAATTTTGATGTTCTAAAGAGGCTGGTGTGCTCTCAAAATCAGCACGCAACCCGACCCTGCTGACTGAAGATTCAGAGCACGTATATTGCTGTGAAGAAGTTATTGGGCAGAAAAGGGGATGGAAATTCCGAAAGCAATCTCAAGGTCAGTAAGAATCCATCGTGACTGGTTGTATTTGACACTATCCTTCAGTGGCTGGGGAAGGTTTGGGATGAGGAATACAAACAGATGTTCGAAACGAACAGCGGTATAATCACCATGAATGCCCTCCCTCGCGCCCTCAACAAGTCACTCGGCGTAGTTTGACACACCAGTGTCACAGATCGCTACGTTTCTGAGATGTTTTTGAACACACTTGCGCGGAAGCCATCGATGGCAGTTCCTGACGGGGAATCTCTAATGTTGGTAGAGCCCAGGCATGTGGTGGAGCAGGTGAAGTCCGAGGCTCCTGCAATGCAACGAAACTGAACTATTCAAAGATTCTTCAGGAACGAAGGGATGTGATACGAAGCTGGATTGACTGGTTGAATTGTGGGGATGTAGGTGGAACGCGTGATGATTTTTTTCCTTGACAAAGAAGTGCAGGTACAAGATGGCCACACGGAGCTTCAACGTGATCTCATAATACGCAGTGTGAAGGAGAAGAAAAATGAGAATCAGAATAAGGAAAACAAGGAGCTGCGTTAGACAACTCACTTCAAACAAGCTGCAACACAGTTACCGTCTGACACTGAAGACCAAGTTTTGCGCGGGGGATGATTACACTTCATTGGTTAGATATTTCAAAAGCTTACAAGCACATCGACAGACTCGCCCTGCCATCCTTCTACTTCTTGTCGGCTGCAGGTTGGATCAGCCCCCTGGATACCTGTAAGGAGATCGTTCAGTTCCATTGGACTGAGGAAAGAAGCTTGAACCAGGTCAGGAATTTCTGCTGCAAGCCATGGGCCCATGCCCAACGCCATCGCGTGCGCAATGCCGAACTTGGGAACGTTTCTTTGCCAGAGGGGGTTGAAGTGAACCTGCAAAAGCGATCAAAATTACAGTGGATGGAAATCGTTGATAGGATGGAAAATGAGGAACTTAAGAATAAACTCACTGTCAAGCAGATTTTGCCTCCGCGATACATTTTTGCTGTTTTGCCGTCAAGCTCTGGCAACATCAGCTCTGCATGCAATGATCAACAAGGGCGAGTGTGTGTCATGGGCCCACCAGGAGCAGTTGCCGGGTACGAGACAGGGATATCGAACTTGAGGTCGAACTCATACTTCTTCATCTCGTAGATGTACCACACCTTTCCTGTCCACACTGTTCCCTGTAGTTGCAACAAGTCAGAACATCCCAAAGGAGGTCTGCATGACCTCTTTGTTGGATTCGATCTGAAACCAGTCAGAATCATTCTCCTTGCCGATCTGAATGTACTTGATCAGGGCAGTGTACTCCTCCTGATCGCCATATCAGCTCCAAGTTCGTTCAATTTGCATGCCAGCGGCAGACCTTCAGACGATCTTTCCACTTGTCTCCATCTCGTGGCCCCGCGTTCACAGTGAGGAGCGGGAGCGAGGAGAGAGTTTTCTTTGTGCTGTTGTAACAAGTACAAGCTTAGTCCACATCCTCGACAAGAAGATCTCTGTGAGTGTAGACTAAATTCATGGAAGGTGATTCGATTGAATCAGATGTCTGAATAACAGACTGCTCGTAGAAAGCAAGATTGCCAAGTTCAAGTTAATTCTCGCTCCTGTTTGTGGTTGCTCCTGACTCTAACATGTCTCAATGAATTTCGCCTGTTTTCTATTCAAGCTGCTCCTGATCCTTGTCACCTATCTCCATGCGTTCGCTCTCGCCTTCCTCCTCGTCCTACGCCTGCCCCCACTGCTACACCCCTTCGAGTACCGGCTCCTGCTCCTGCTCCTGCTCCTGCTCCTAGCCCGGCATCCAACATGGAGCATCCAGCATGCTGGACTCTCACATCTTGTTTCTGCTTCTCTTCACAATCACCATTCCGATCGTCTTCATCCTCTGCATCGCCCACATCCGCGTCTCCTCCTCCTCCATCGCACTTACCCTTCATCCATGGCGGCCTCCACGTGTACCCATACCAAGCTTGCCTACTCAACGCCGAAGGCTCCGGGGCCCGGGGTACGCCGGGCCCGCCGTGGACGAGACTAGAGCGTTCAATGGACCACGGGTCATTCTCCAACGTAAACGACCCGTGGTACTACAGGTAAATGACTTGATCGGCTGCCATGACGAAGAGGAGCCGCGGCGAGTCAGGAGACTCGTCGAGCTTGTCTCCATGCAGAGATCAGAAGCAAGCGAGGTCAAGAGGAAGCGGAGCAAGCGGCATGCGAGGGAGCCTCACTTCTCCCGATGACTTGGTACCTGGGCCCAGGTATACCCTACCGACCCAAGCGAAGGAGCTCGGGCTCGTCCAGACAGCTCAAGGTCGATACGTGCTGGAGGCATCTAAAGAGAAGAGGTTCTTTGTGTCGAGCCTTGCTTCCGGTCAGCTCCTCTGGGAGACCGACGAGCAAGTGCAGGCAGACGACGTGAAGGAGATTCTTGAGGCCATGACCGGACTAGATCAGTCCGTGCACGTCAACACGGGGACGCACGGCACTGAAGACGGAGAGCTGCAACCAGCAGGAGGGCAGACGGTTGACTTCTACCTAGAAGACTTTGATAGCATCACAAAGCTGGCAGATAAGGCGAAGGTATCGCTGCATCATGTGACCTCTCTGTACCTGCCTTGCTTGCCCCCCAAGGCGAACATGGTCATCAACGGCTGGTGCTACAGCCATCGGTACGGCTTTGCGAGCAAGGTAGATCTAGCTACAGGCAAGATCCCGGAAGACAAGCATGATGGATGGAAAAGATACTGCAATCTGCCCCGGAGGCTCCGGGAGGTGATGAAGAGCTTGCTCGGCGACGAGGAGGGAGTGGATGACGCCATGGGCTGCTACATCGAGACCTGCTGCGCGAGCATAGACCCCGAGATCCGAGCGACAGCAGGGGAGCCCTCGGCAGCGCTTCTTGACCGCTTCCTGCAGAGCAAGCAGAAGCGAGTGCTCGTGCTGCTCGGTCAAGCGGGCGCAGGCAAGTCGACGCTGGCGAAGAAATGGACCATCGAGCAGGGAGAAGCTTGGGAGGTAGGGAAGCTATATCCAGTGTACCTGCATCTGCCAAGCTGCACGAGTGTCAGGGAGTACATGAAGCAGGCGGCAGGAGTTTCTTTCAGGAGCGAAGAGGAATGGCGAGACTTCATCAGGCGCAACTCCTTCTTTGTGGTGCTGGACTCGTACGATGAGATGGGGGAGAAGGTGAACGTGGTTGACAAGGTCTTCAAGGAGCTCGTGGGCTCCCAGGTCAAGGCAGTCCTCACTTGTCGGAGCGGCTACCTGCTGACGGAGAGGGTGTCGAACCCGCTGCTCTGGCCCCCGGGAGTCGAAAGAAGCAACGCGGTGGAGGTAGCTTGGATACGTCCGTTGAGTCTGAGCGACAAGGATCGAGTCGGCCGGTACATCGACCATCACATCCAGAAGCAAGTCGTCGAGGTCGAGGGATGGAGCAGAGACAAGTACGAGGAGGCGATGGGGGCGGTGCTTGAGCTCCGAGAGGTTGTGAACACTCCCTTCTCGTTGAAGGTGCTGCTGTACTCGCTTCCCCGACTACACACAAGGGAGGATGGGTCGAGGCTGACCATCACGCGTCACAGCATGTACAAGGAGTACGCGGAGACATGGTATCGGAGAGAGTGGGAGAAGCTCAAGCAGAAGAAAAAGCTTTTCAAGCAGGCAAGGAGGAAGGAAGCCGGAGAAGAGACGTACATGCGCTGGTACTCAGAAGCTGCCAAGAAGCTATGTCTCCACATGCACAAGGACAAGGACTGCAGGACCCGTATCGTCTACAAGGTCGGAGTAGACGGCTTCCTGTCTGGCGAGCCTTTCTGCTTGCGGATGTCAGGCGGGGACGTGAAGCAAGAGCTGGGGTACTGGCTGCTGCGAGGCAGCCTGACCCGGGTCAAGGTGAACGAGCGGGGTGTGGAGGTGAGCTTCATACACGACCTGTACCGGAGTTTCTTCCTCGCGGAAGCAACCTTGGACGAGCTGAGGGAGGGTGTGCGAGTACCTGAGAGTCTGTCTGCGCGAGAGCTCCGAGGCGAGATCGAGACGATCCAGGAGCACGCCATGGTCGTGAGGAGCGAGCGCGAGTACCAGGAGAGGCTGTTTGACGTCATCAGAGCCTCGCGGGAGGACGAGAGCGAGGCGACGGGGAGGGCGTCAGCCAACGCGGCTACGATCCTGGTGGCCGCGAGCGTGAGCTTCTCGGGTCTAGACTTGTCGGGGGTGCGACTGGCAGGGGCGATCTTGAGGAACGGCATCTTCCATCGGACGGACTTGAGGCGGGCTGACCTGTCCGGCGTGGACGCGAGCCACGGATACTTTGTGGAGACGCGGCTGGAGGGAGCGAGACTGGAGGGAGCTGACTTCGGGGTGAATGCGAGCGTGAGGATCGAGTGCGAGGATGTGACTTGCGGGGCGTTCGGGCCCGGAGGGAAGACTCTAGCGACAGCATCGAAGGATGGGATCATACGGGTGTGGGAGGTGGAGTCGGGAATGTGTGAGCTTGAGCTTGTTGGATCGCGAACAACAGCGATGAGCTGGAGAGCTGACGGGAAGCAGCTGGCGGTGGGATCTCGGGATGGAAGGATAAAAGTGTGGGACATTGAGACAGGAACGTGTTGTCTAGAGCATGACGGGAAGGGGATCATAGACAAGATCAGCTGGATGGGCGATGGAAGGATTGCTGTGACAGCATACTTCGAAAGATACTACATACAAACGATAGACACAAGACTGAATCAAGGTACCGACATCAACGTTGGCTTGGCAGCCACAGCATCAACAAGGCTCATGAGACACATGGATGAGAACATTCTCACGACATGGCGTAAGGCAAACGTTGACGACAAGCAGATGCACAGAGGCCAGGAGCTCCGGCCAACCCCAGGAGGAATATGTGCATTGCACAATATCAGCTGGGGGCCGGACGGGAGGAGGCTGGCGGGCATATCGGAGTCAGGCCGTCAGGCATGGGTGTGGGAGGCAGAGACGGGGAGGGGTCAGGAGCTGCAGGGACCCGCGGGAGGAGTGAGGGATCTGAGCTGGGGGCGGGACGGGAGGAGGCTGGCGGGCATATCGGGGTCAGGCGGTCAGGGATGGGTGTGGGAGGCAGAGACGGGGAGGGGTCAGAAGCTCCAGGGACCCGCGGCAGGAGTCCAGGGTCTGAGCTGGGGGCCGGACGGGAGGAGGCTGGCGGGCAGATTGAGGTCAGGCGGTCAGGGATGGGTGTGGGAGGCAGAGACGGGGAGGGGTCAGGAGCTCCAGGGACCCGCGGCAGGAGTCCAGGGTCTGAGCTGGGGGCCGGACGGGAGGAGGCTGGCGGGCATATCGGAGTCAGGCGGTCAGGGATGGGTGTGGGAGGCAGAGACGGGGAGGGGTCAGGAGCTGCAGGGACCCGCGGGAGGAGTGAGATATATGAGCTGGGGGCCGGACGGGAGGAGGCTGGCGGGCAGATTGAGGTCAGGCGGTCAGGGATGGGTGTGGGAGGCAGAGACGGGGAGGGGTCAGGAGCTCCAGGGACCCGCGGCAGGAGTCCAGGGTCTGAGCTGGGGGCCGGACGGGAGGAGGCTGGCGGGCATATCGGAGTCAGGCGGTCAGGGATGGGTGTGGGAGGCAGAGACGGGGAGGGGTCAGGAGCTCCAGGGACCCGCGGCAGGAGTCCAGGGTCTGAGCTGGGGGCCGGACGGGAGGAGGCTGGCGGGCATATCGGGGTCAGGCGGTCAGGGATGGGTGTGGGAGGCAGAGACGGGGAGGGGTCAGGAGCTGCAGGGACCCGCGGGAGGAGTGAGGGATCTGAGCTGGGGGCCGGACGGGAGGAGGCTGGCGGGCATATCGGGGTCAGGCGGTCAGGGATGGGTGTGGGAGGCAGAGACGGGGAGGGGTCAGAAGCTCCAGGGACCCGCGGGAGGAGTGAGGTATCTGAGCTGGGGGCCGGACGGGAGGAGGCTGGCGGCCATATCGGAGTCAGGCGGTCAGGGATGGGTGTGGGAGGCAGAGACGGGGAGGGGTCAGAAGCTGCAGGGACCCGCGGGAGGAGTGAGGGATCTGAGCTGGGGGCCGGACGGGAGGAGGCTGGCGGGCATATCGGGGTCAGGCGGTCAGGGATGGGTGTGGGAGGCAGAGACGGGGAGGGGTCAGCAAATTCGTACAGATGCTTGTGTTGCTATGTGTTTCTCGGAGGATCCTGTGAAGGTGTGCTGTTGTTTCAAGGTGCGTTGCGCTCATTTGTCAATTTTCGATGTCTCTACATGTAAGGTGATACATGAGCTTACGATTGAGGATACAAATACTCTTTGTCTTGGTCTTCACGGCAGCCGGTCTGTTGCCTTGGCTTGGGGCTCAGAGAAGATCGTTCGGATGTGGGACGTTGAAGGCAAGACATGTTCTCGAGAGCTTGCAATAAATGTCGGCAGCATGAGCTGGGGGCCAGACGGGAGGAGATTCGCAACTTGGTCACGGTCAGACACGAAGGTGCGCGTGTGGGAGGTAGAGACAGGGCTGTGCACTCGAGAGCTGGAGGGTCTCGAGGGAGACATGAAAAACATGAGCTGGGGGGCAGATAGCTCGATGTTGCTTTGTGAGTATGAAACAGACGTTGCTCGAGTGTGGGACGTGGAGACTGGAGAAATACTCATAATGCTTCAACAAAAAGGTTTGAAACATAGAAAGCGTCTGGTCCATCTGCTTCAAGAAGAACACCTTCTGGTACTGCAAGGGGATATACTCATCAGAACATACAATCTCTGCAAATCATACGGAAATCTTCAGAACCTACCAAAATATGAAAGCAACTCTATCAACGCATGGCATTCAAACACAAACAAAGTCGCAGTAACTTCTGAGGGAATTGCAAAAGTAACAATCTGGCACACAGAAGCGGGGAGGGGTCAGAAGCTCCAGGGACCCCGCGGCAGGAGTGGAGGATCTGAGCTGGGGGCCGGACGGGAGGAGGCTGGCGGGCATATCGGGGTCAGGCGGTCAGGGATGGGTGTGGGAGGCAGAGACGGGGAGGGGTCAGGAGCTCCAGGGACCCGCGGGAGGAGTCCAGGGTTCTGAGCTGGGGG